TTGGACTTGATAACGCCCCTAACAGATTAAAACAAGAGTAGGTTTATATTTTTATGTACTGTATACCAGGAAACCATAGCAAATTTTTGCCCTCTCAGGCTCTGTTAAAATCAATATTTGCCCAGTGCTAATTTCGCCCTTCATATTTAATTACTGCATATGTTATACTGTTTAACAATATTTACTGAAATGATAAATTCTCCCTCTTTGCGGAGGCAAAACTTAAACTGTGGTGAAATGTTTTTCCGGTATACAGTCAATATCTGTTATGATAACAGTATTTATGTAAGCAGTCTGTCATTACCCTCCAATACTAGTGGAGGGACCAATCATCAAATTTATTTTTCGCAGAAACATACACATGCACAAAATATTAAAATTAGCATGGTATATTGTAAATATTAAATACATAGGTCACATGTATCTTACATCATGTTTGATTCAATTTAAATCCCTGCTTTACATCTGTAAGAAACATTGATAACATGAACACAAATTCAATGGCACATGCGAATGGATATTATGGTTCTTTACTTTTTCATTAGTATATTATGATTTATATATAATTATTGCACCTCATACAAGAATGCCAAAAAATTAATGGTTCAGAGCCGTCACATGGTTAACCCTTTAACATTTTATTTAGAGTGGCAGTATTGTAATAACTCATTCACCCCTGAAGACTCATTTGAACTCTTCCAATTCAAAGGTTGGAATAGTTCATTATGAAATTTCAGGGGAGAATGAGTTAAGAGTGCAACATGGTGGCTGGTATCCATGCCCACCACCTGAAAATGTCATCAAACACCACTTCCATATATGGTCAGCTGAATTTCCAAAATTGAAGAATTGCAAAGCATTTTTAGAATTAATTTTAAGGACATTGAAAAGTAGAGTGAGGTGCCTCCCCAATGACAGTTGAAAACTAACAGGCAGTGTCTCCAATCTAATTAAAATAAGACCTCTCACGGCGGCTTCATTACCTACGCTGAGAGGCCTAATTAAAATCAGACCTCTTAAGACAGCTTCGATTTGTTACCTACTCTGAGAGGCATAATTAAAATCAGACCGTTTTGTTAGCCTCTCAACGTAGGTAACTATGCGGTCTTGAGAGGTCTGATTTTAAATAGATTGGCTGGGTCTCTTATCACCTTTTTTGAAGGGTTTCAGCAATGACGGTGTAACAAAAATAGAGTAGTTGTGGAAGACCACAACTGTGGAGCTGGTACAAAAAGGATAAATAAGCATTGAGCAAAATCTCAAAAGGGAGATAACCTGCATTCAAGGATTAAGCAGAAATATGAACCATACAATTCTTGGGGGATTTTAATCTATTTCTATGAGGCAAGTATGAGGATCACCATGCGACAGTTTAAACCAATTTTCATTTCAGATAGAAAAGGTCCTTCACACAATAAATTACCCCTAGCCCACTTTATTTGTTACCAAACCGTCGGGTTTCATAGAAGAGTAAATAACCGACAATGCAACAAATGACACCAAGGCCGTTTTCCTTTATCATGGTCCAAACGGTTGGACCACTGTTGTTCGTTTATGAAATAAGATTGAACCCAGTAATCTGATGCTGCTTAAAGGCGAGCCTTGAAGAAGCCTTGCAAGGCCTGCATAAACTTTTGCAGGTCTGCCAGGATTTATACCCGAAAATGTTACATTTAACAACGGATGTACCGGTTGTTCTACATAAATGAACAGGCCCCAGGTTTATCTGGTCCTAATATAACCAACATTTTTTAAGTAAAGATTAAAAAAAACACTTTTAGCCGATTGCCTTATATGCATAACTTGAGCTAAACTTGCTTGTGTCAAGTCTAATATCGGTTGTTACAATTGCAATACTATGACTAACAGAATCACTCTTTCCATATTGCTCTTATCAACACAAAAAGGAATTACGAATGCCATCATATAACAAGTTTAACTATAGAACAAGTTTCGCGGAAACTAAGGTCACATTCAAAAGCATTGTACTCAAATATATTGTATACTTTCAGCGGTAACTATATTTGGGGTTATCCCCAAACAAAAGCCTTAGACAGAGACATAAAACAAGAGCCTAGCTTATCCCTGAGTGTTACATGTAAAATAAAGAAGGGACTATTTTTAGATATGACTTTCATATTTAAAAACAAGATTATGGGTTTACTGGCTTAGGCTACCACTGGTGATATGTGGTGGTAATTTGTCCAACTTTTGAGCCACAGTTAACTCATTCACCCCTGAAGACACATTTGAACTCTTCCAATTCAAAGGTTGGAATAGTTCATTATGAAATTTCAGGGGTGAACGAGTTAACTATGTTACCAGCTATTTAAGAGGTACATATACCTTCCTATAACATTTCTTCAAGCTTCATTGATGGGTGATCTGAGAGATTAAGACTTTAACAAGGTGATCTGTTGGTCAAGCTAAGGGAGCCTACTACATCAGTAGCTTATTTTCATGATGGACTCTAATTTTGTGAACATTAAACCAATTCATGAATTGAAAAGTACCTCAGGAAGGATTTGCACTTTTTATAGATATAACTTCGTGAAGTTTCCACTATTTTTTGAAAACAGAAAGCAACAAACCCTGAAGACCATCAACAACTATCACCTATCACTCATGATGACATCAACAACGAACTACCACTTTTTAATATTGAAGCATTTACAGCTTGTGAATATGTTGGTCATATCCGAGCCTGGGCAATATAAAATTACAAATTTAACAAAATTAATTATCATTACAGCATCTTGACTAGTCAAAGTTTTATCTTACTCCATTTTTCCCATTCATGGGTTGAAAGTGGCATCAGTGAAAACATGGACTTACCCTAAACACGATGACAGTGTAAGTGTATTACTGGTAATGGCAAACAAATTGAATTTTACACACTTAAAGTTACAAATCTAACAAACTATCTTACATGTAAATGCGTATTCATTTTCTTATGGAATTTATATGAGAAAAACTCAAGAAAACTTACACATGTATATTAAAATAAACACATTTAGATAAATCAAGATATTTTTATCACATAACCAGTAATTATATAAATTATGCAAACATTTATTAATTATTATGTAGAATATATTAAACAGTACACTCACTGAAGAGTAAAATGTAACACTTTATGCTGGTATTTTTTGGTCCAACCAAACTTACCAGTAAAAAGATATCTTTTACTCTTCAACAACAGTTACCATTATAGTGAAATTACAAAAAAAAACATTCCAAACAATTAAAACACTGACACGTGGAATGCCCATTAAAGGAATTAAGTATATATAATATAATTTTGTACTGTAGATAACGCACATCTGATTACAATCCGATTGATTATATTTTTTCATAAACTAAAACTGAAGTGTTCAGGACAGTAAAACAAGATCTATTCATTATATACGGTAATAAGACCTGCTATATATTTTCCCAATTTTTGAGGTTCTGACTGTCACAGGCAGAACATTGAAGGAACCACACTGAGTAAAACTGAAACATGTGAATGATAGCTCACATCAAGATTTCTAGTCAAACAGCACAGTCGATCAACAGAAAAGGGAATTTCTAACTGTTACAGCCCTGACATCATGCCCTTTGACCTTTGACACTGATGAAAACTGGCTTAAGATATAAAGGCTGACATTTTTTTTCTATGGTAAAAATTTAATAAAAGGTTGCATTAATTAAAACTCTGATAAAGACCGAGATCAGCCTTAACCCTTTCACCACTGTAGACCATAATGGTATTAATGGACTCATCCAGATCAATTCATGGTAGAGTGTACTAAAGTTACATAGGGGTGAAAGGTTTAAGGCAGACATTTTCATCTCTGTTAAGATTTAAGTCACAGTGACAAAATTACAGTGCACTGCAGACTTTCTGTCTGTCTGTGATGCAGTTATGGGCAGATCTGCTTGAGTGATCAACACAATGACCTTGGAGTAGAGCTCTACATTGTCTGTGCTATAAAATCAAGTTATGTGTTATAAATACTATGGAAATGAATGCCAATGGAAGAAGGGTTCCGAACAAAATCAGAACAGTAATACACCTCCAGCAAACACACACTTGTGGAGGTATTAGCCAGGTGGCTTTGGAAAATTATGATAGTTTAGCTCCTGCGAAACTTCCATATTGCACCAAGGATCCCTGCCCCACTGCAATGTGTTTTTTCCTATATACAGTAACCTCCCCTTAACTACCATTTGGATATAACTGTAGCACAGTTTGGCCAGGATACTTCCATTGACCACATAGGTAAACTGGTTAGAGCCATAGTATAACTATCTGAAGTCCAGGGTTCAAATCCGGATCTAGCCCCACAGATCTTTTACTCTTAGAACACTGTTGTTCATAACATTTTTTTTATTTCATCTTTATGATTTTCTATAAAAGCCCCTGCAAGGTATAATTTTCTTTTCAGAAATTATTTATCAAAGCTTTAGACATGCCAATAAAAACAGTTTCCAATACTTTGTTGCAGATTTTAGCAGTTGTCCAGGGATCCTTATTGCATCAACTGATCATTGTGTAGTTTGTATATGTATGATTTGTATTGGATCTTAGTGTGCCTTTTCCTAGTTAAAAAGGATGCTATACTTATATCAAATGTAGTAAAATGATAATAATAGATAATACTGAAGTCAAATCAAGATATCTTCAACATTTTAAAAGTTACTGCCCAGACAACGCGCTGTTATAAGAACCAAAGAAATCAAAAACAGAAGAACCAGTATTTAATACAATTTGTCTCCCTTCAACAGCAAGGGGACACATAGGGTACATTTGCATATCCGGTTAAAACGGTTGAACGGGTTGAACCTGTAAAGAAAAGGTACAGATCTGAACCGAGGCTGACCTCAGGAAAATTTCGGCACGTGTAGATTGAGGGGTCCAGACGTAACTAGCCGAAACTAAAATGCTGACTATTGCCAGTTTGCGTTATTTCTTTCTAAAACTATGTCAAGCCACATGTAGTTTTTTAAGATACGTTATGTAATTTCGTGGACGGATGAAAGAAGGGCATATTATTCTTGATACATTGATTTTTATTCTCCGAAACTGTGCATGTTTAGCTCTGCTTGTAGAACGGTCCAAATGAGTTCGTTTATCGTGGAAAATTTCTGCGACACACGTACCGTTTCAACCGGGATACACAAATGTAGCCATAATGAAATGGATGATATTGATACAAACACAGGAAAAAATAAATGGTTACTGTAAAGTGATCTAAGACAGGACATTATATGCTCGGACCAACTTGCAACAAAAGGAATTTCTCTCAATATATTGTGATCATGCAGAATTCACCTCCTTGAAAATTGGATGAAAATGGATGTAAAGAGACATGATTTATTTACTGTTTTACAGTACTTTATGTGTGATAAAAGGAGGGGGGAGACTTACAATCTATGGCTAAGTGACATTTGTGATGGTCACATACTGATACAAATGGAACAGTGTCCTAAACAAAACAAACCAAACCTTAAGATTTCAATCTAAGTGGGGCGGCGTGATGGTCTAATAATATATTTCTACAGATCAATTGGGATGAAGTTAAGCTAACTATCACTAGCACGGTCAACTTTGGAAGGTTAAATCCACAAACGTAAGCTTAAGACTCAACACGCACCTCTTAATGTCGAAGTATTTGTGACCTGTGATAAATAGCTTCAGAAAGAACATCCATTCTAGATCATGCCTATGTCTACTTTTGTGTAAATATTAACAAACTGCTATTAAACTATCAGAGATTAGAGAGTTTCAAAACTTCTGACATAACATCCATTCTGGAGTATGTCCATGTCTACAGCAGTCTAAAAATTAACAAACCGCTATTAAACTATCAGGTATTGGACATTTTCAAAGCTTAAACTATTTGATATTGGACATTTTCAAAGCTTCCGACGCAACAACCATTCTAAAGCATGTCTACGTCTTTCAATCTAATCAATATTAACTACTATAAATCTCTCAGAGACTGGATAGTTTCACAGTAATAGGTTAAAGACACTTACAGCACAAACTAACAGCTACGAACATTTAGAGAAATAGTTTTATCACATATGTTTGTCATACACCGAATGTCCAGACTTTTCTCTATAACTGTTCCATTCTCGAGTATGTCAACAATTTAAATCAATCACCCAATACATTTCACTCTTTCAATCAACTTTCAAAAGTTTACTGAATTCCTCTTGTGGTTTTAACTTGTATGCATCTTTTACTTTTGTTCTTTTCAGCTGCCCATCCCTGCAATAGATAGAACATAGTACCTATGAGTATAGAGTTTCTGAGGTCGGCAGAAATTAGAACTGTAAGCCACGTTACAGGTAACTTAATCTCCCATTCTAAATCAAAATTGTCAAAATAAAAGTTGACAAATTGTATGTGTCAATCAGAAAATGATGACGTGTACCTAGTTATATAAAAATTAGTTGAACAGTGTACAGCTGGACTGATCATGTGTACAAATTATTACTGGTGGTTGACATCATTCCCTCACCTTAACCCTTTCACCCCTATGTAACTTTAGTAGACTCTACTATGCAGTGATCTGGATGAGTCCATTATGGTCTACAGTGGTGAAAGGGTTTAGGTTTAAACGAGGGAATTCTCAGTCTGTCATAACAAGTGTATGACATCACATCAACAATGTACTGACATCACATCAACATTACATTAATTAACATCATGACAACAATATGCATTGACATCATACATACATAGATTTTATTCTGATAAAATTAGGATTTTACAATCCTTTGACAGTCACTGCTGAAATAAAAAATAATAAAATAGAAACATTTTAAAAGTTGCGACGCTTAGATTTAGATTTTTTCAATAAAACTATTTCATGGCAACGATGCATTTACGTCATGCAATGATGCAATGACATCATGACAATTAATGTCACCTCAATATTGCATATATGTGATGGAGCCAGTAGGGCAAGAGAAAAAGGATTGAGCAACACCCTTGGGACTCTGTAACATGTGTGAATCTCAACCCACAGGATGGTTCTTAGGATGCCAAGCACTCTGCCAGCCTCACGTTTGACAATGTAGGAGTCTTTCCCCTCAAGTTGAGATCCCACTATCTCATCCTCATTGGGGCGAAAGATTAGTATTAGTCTACAGATATGAAGAAGGTCAAACAGATGGATGGACAACCTGACACATAACACATTGTCGAAATGATGAAGTACAAAATAGAGTAATAACTCTGCCAAAATTTGCTGAAACTGCACAATGAATAGAAACTTTGTACTCAGCTGTACAAAGTTTCATTCAAATTTAATAAGTAATTTTGAGGGATCAGTACAATGTACAGATAAGGTGATTCCAGTACCCACCTTAACTTTGACATGGGGTTATGAACTTACCATTCTAAATCTACTAATCCACCCCGTCTTGCAATTTCTTTTTTCACCCTATTTGCAAAATTGACTGCATCTTCTGTTTCCTGCAAAATTAAAGTAAAATATGAAATGAAATGTATCGAAATATTTTTCATGCAGTATAACTCGGAACATTCTGCATATACAGAAAGAGTCTAATATATTCAAACTTAACATGAGCGAATGGAGCATGGATACTGGCGTACCCAAGGCAAACCCGAGCGGTTAAGTAGGTGACCCTACACTATCCTGGTGTAAGGCGAGTGCGCTATCCACTGTCCTTCCCGACAAAGGTCTAGGGAATCCAACAATATAACCTTTTAACTTGTATCATCACCATTGTATCATTTCATTGGCAGAATGGAATTTGAATAATCTTTCTAAAAACAGCTTAAAGTATCAAATATTGCAAGAGAATATCAAAAATTATCTTTGTACCATATTTCTATTACAATAGTTTTTGATGTCCCTTACAGTCAATTGGTGGGTTTTTTTCATGCTTGGGATATTACCTTCAGAAAATCAAAGACAAGTAACACAGACGCAGGACATTTTCTGACATAACATCCATTCTGGAGCATGCCCATGTCTACAGAGGTCTTAAAATTAACAAACCGCTATTAAACTATCAGATATTGGACGTTTTCAAAGCTTAAACTATTAGATATTGGACATTTTCAAAGCTTCCGACGCAACATCCATTTTCTATTTAACTAGTCCTTTGACCTTCCAACCAAAAAAAAATTAGTGTCAAACCCTGATTGGTGGGGTGGTGCAGTGGATAGCACACTTCCTGTCAACAAAGTGGCCAGGGTTTGGTTCCCTGATGGGGGTGAAAAGATGTATGGGGTCACCAGCAAGACCACATGGGTTTTCTTCGGATACTCCAGTTTCCTCCCACATTAAGACCCCCCACATGCTAACATCTGGGCCAACAAGAGTTCTTAATATAAGTTGAATTGACTTGTTTCATAATTCTTGTAAAAAAAATAAAGTTTATATTTTGTACAAACCCTGATCAGTGGTTTTTTCCCGATGTTTATATCAGGCTAAAAAAGGGTTCTTAAGGTGGCTCCACACTTTCGCAATTAACCAGCAAAATTTGTTGAAACTTTCATATAATGGTTATGCAACTATGTAGAGTTATTTTTATGAAAATCTAAACATTCCGATAGTTTGGGGAATTTTTTGGAAAAAATACCAAAAAATTGAATTTTCGCCACTTTTAATATTTTCCGTTTTTTTTTGTGTGTGGCATTGTTCGGAACAATAAAAACAATAAAAAAATGAAAAGAAGCATTTATAATTAATCCTACAAATATTTTATTTATCGCAAAATATGTAACACATGTTACACAAAGTGTTTTTTATTGAATTTGAACGGATAAAAGTGATTATCTACAAGCTAAAAGCAAACAGGACACACAGATCTATACATATAGAGTGGGAAATTGAACAAAATATACACAATGGCTTTATAATTAATTTATTTTACATTTTACAATCACTTTGATCCGGGTGAGAGTTATCTTCCTTGAAAAAAATCGGAACTTTTTGCAGAGGGATGACATTTACACAATGACAGTTGTCTCTGTTTACATATAACAAATGATGGAAATAAATCAAAAATATGATATCAAAATTATCAATTTATTGTTCTTTAATGGAACCAAATTACCCTCAGTCATGTACACTTTGGACATCATTCCACAGTCCGCTAACTCACGGTATATTTATAATTACATGTCAGGTACATATGTGACCAGAGGCTATCGCATGGTATGCCGTTCTCACGTGCCCTCACACATGCATTTCATAGGTATCTTGATATTTTACAAAACATTATTTTCACAGAGTAAGTAGACTACATTTGTAAACACGATTTAATCGACAGAGCGAAACTCCCTCAGCTTATGAACTCGTGTAAGCACGTGATATGCACATATGAGGTTGGTACGTCCGCATTCCATGTGTTTCCTATATGACCTTCTTGAGGTCGTCTGGTCTCATGTCACTGTCTTCCCGTGAGTCTGTTTATGTCAATGAATTGGAAAGCTTTATTCCTGAAGTACGTGTGATTATACATTTCCCGGTAAAATCTCGATATCGGGTGTTGACATATCATCGGCACGCACGTGTACTATTGTTTACCAGGGGCCTGTTCGTTTATGCGGAACAACCGGTTTGACCGTTTATAAATGTAACAATTCCGGGTATAAATCCTGGCGGACCTACAAATGTGTATGCAAGACTTGCAAGGCTTTCTCAAGGCTCGCCTGAAAGCAGCATCAGATAACTAGGTCTTACCTTATTTAATAAACGAACAACAGTGGTCCGATCGGTTTGACCGTTTAAACGCAAACGGCCCAGGTGTTACTATAATTTGCACTACGATATTGAATACCCGATACGCAAAACGGAAATGACGACACGGTGTACATGCACATTTCGATCAAGATAATTGAGTCCGAGCTGTCCTTTTTCCGGAAGTACGTCACAAAAATGGACGCTGATGACGATGTGTCGAGCCACCTTAACTGGAGATTGCTTATAATCATGATTTAATACTGATTTTTTCGTGCAACTTACATTTTTCATCATGGGAGGTAGATACCACACATCTGCCACTAGTGCCCAACTGGTCAGGATCTGGAAGATATGGCTTAACATGCCCATCTTACTGCTGTCCCAGAATGCATCACCAAAACGTGGGTCATACTGTACACAAAAATTAGTGAACTCGAGTAAAATATAAATAAATACTCTAGATCCACAAGTAATCACAAAAAAAATCTACAAAAACAGTCTTAGGTAGTATTAATATAAATTATACAGGTGTACAAGAATTGTTTTCAAAGACATGCAAGTTGAAATTCATTTATTATCGCTCTAAGTTGACGGCACTGCAGTGCTGTCAAGAACTTGATTATTTCATTGTAACCAGATATCACTAGGCCGTCATAATGTCCTTAACAGGCTACTGATTTTAGTCACCATAACGGTCTGGTCAGTGTGAATAAAACACAACAGACTAATGATTTTAGTCACCATAACGGTCTGGTCAGTGTGAATAAAACACAACAGAATTAGTTTCTTTATTTACTTACTTGCTAACCAGTACATGATCAATTGTTGATTTGTGAAATGGTATTGTGACTAAACTTTGAAACAACCAGAGTCTAATTCTTGCAATATAAAATGTAGCACTAGGTTCTTCAAATCATTATTTTATCCAACATGAGGAACTATTTCCCATAATAAATTCCCATGTACAATTTTTCACAAACTGTAGTCTTACATAAAAATTGTTTTATAAAAACTTGCTTTAAAGGGGCCGGTCGGGGAAAAAATGTCATATTTGCTAAAATGGCATACACATGTTTAAAATCCCTTCGTATGAAATATACCGATTCAAATTTTGCTGAAATTCACTCCCTAAGAGTAAAAATTATAATTATATTAAATAAATCCTAAATCGTCACCTGACGGTCTAAAACTCTCAATTGACCCAGATCAGTGATGTAATTTTACCGCATGCGCGTCATCAACAAGGCCAAATGTAAACATCGCAGCGAAAGAAAAAGATGCATGCAAAAGTCATGACAGGCACGAGGTATCAATACCGTTATATATAACAACAACATATAGGTAGAAATACTACACTTGCATCATACGTGACCTTTGAAAACAATTATTTACGTATAGTATTGCTGTCTTGTCCACTAGTTGAGGCCGACATGGCTGATAGACAGCGTGCTATTGTTGTTATCTTCACTGCTTCACTTTCGAAACAACCACGTGACATATATAAATAGATCTGCGCTAAATTTACGCTGGGTTTCCCCGAGATTTCAGTGGTCAAAACTGGACATTGCAAGCAGAACTCGACCATCATATTGCCGTGGTATAACTTTTGGAAGGCCAGAGAACGCATTTAGACCCATTTATTTTGTATTTTTTCCCCCGACCAGCCCCTTTAACACAGACTCCTGCCTTTAACTACCACCTAATCCAAATTGGTGTTTTCTTTATATCAACCTGTCCATAAAGATCACCTGTATAATAAGACCAGTTTTGCTTGCCTTCTCTTCCATGGTCATTATAGACAGGTCTCAATGACAGTTTATATATATTATTAGTTAATGTCAGTCTATAAATATAATGTTACACTAAATACATACCTTTATAGCTACTGGATATATTGTGGATCCCACCTCAAAACTTCCCTTCTTAAACATCACAACTGAAGTATTGTTTATACATGTCCCTGAAATGGATAATTGCAGGAAAAATCAATGAAAATTACTGACATAATAATATCAAAACTGCAAACAAAATCATATATAAGTTGTGAAATGAAGGGAAATATTTATTGTTTTCATTATGATGTTCAAAAGTATATATTTTTTATTGTGCATGTCATAAAATCTTCATCTGTATGATGTTTCCAAGAACACTATACCCTAAATGTTCAGATATACAATCTTCAGTTTTATTGGATAAAAGAAAACTATATCTTCTCAAATTATATATACATAAAATGCATATCATAATGTTTAATTGCATATGGATCTAGGGACAGACAATTTAAGGATGGTGGCTATCTGACTGTGACAAGAATCTCCTTTACAGAAGAGTTCTGCACAATTAAACCTGTATAATAGGGCTTAAGAAGTGTAATTTTAATTTGTATTTATACAATTATTAAATTGTCACTATGTGTTAACTAACATCACACAAATTGACTATATTTCACTTTTGGATAATGCTTATAAAGATTGAACCTGAACTTTTGTAATTCTATAATATAAATAATTAAGTATAATGATAACCAAATGATTTCACAGGAGTTAACTCAAACACAAATTACTTGTACAATGTGTAACATAGCATACACCTTTAAGTAATTAGAGTTAATATTAATTAAATAATTTGGATTGTCAGATTTTGTATGTCTCACCTTCAGGAAATATCAATATAGGTAGTTTATCTTCATTATCTACATGTTCTTTTAATCTGTAACAAAATAAACTCACTTTAAACAACATGATATATACACACTATATATCACTAGATATCTTATTAGTTTAAATGTTATAGCTCCAACAAGCTTTTATTGAAATCCAACAAGCTTTAGAGCATTTTTTACTTTTAAATTTAAAGAAAGATATTATAAAATTGATGAACTGTGTATAATTGATGAACTGTGAAGTGCTAACATACCTTCTTGCTACCAAGTGTCTATCCCTGACCTCTGACCTTTCAAACCAAATGTGGGATGTGGCTCGCGAGAGAGCTCTCTGGACAATGCCAAGGAACCCATTGTGGGCCTGTCCAACCTAGCAGAGAATAGGCAATGCCAAATAATGTACACATTTCCTTGAAAAAAATTGGTTTGAAGCATCAATGCAAAATACATATTTACTGAAATAAATCAATTTGTTTACTTATATGTTACATAGCAGTATAACGAATATGTTTCTATGATATTTTTTCATGTGAATATATAAACTTTATTTATTTTACAACAATTATGAAACAAGTTTTTACAACTTATATATGGCTGCCTTGGTGAAAGGCAAGTGTGTTATCCACTGCGCCACCAGACCACTTTAAAAAAAAAAAAAACACATGCTTTATAGGCAAACAGTACATTACACAAAGTTACCATAGCATAACAACCGTCACAGGATAGGATGATAACATCTATGGGTGAAGTATGGTTCGCCACACATATCCCGTTTTTGGCGATGTTCTCTCGGTTGTGGAACGTCAGCACGGCAGAACATGCCCTTGCTAACAAACGGTGAGACATCAGGCTCGCTTTTTGATTTAATCTTTTTTTTAGGCTGAAAGAAAAAGTGGTAATACCGAATTAATGAAGAAGCATTTTTAATTTTGTATTACAAATAAAGCATGCGAGAAATAATTTCCCCTACACTAAATATGTTTCTGGGTCTTGATCCATCCAATTCGCTATTTGTGACCTCATTATCTTAGAAAATTGATCTCCAAAGAGACTTTGAAGCTAACTCCAGTTTGGGTTATAACATGTCAATTTTAAGCAGTTTAAATTGACAAAGTGGTTAGAATCGACAGAAAATGAACAATGTGTTTATCACATCAGGTACAGAACATGCACCTACTTGCTCTCTGGTAGATACCCAAGGACGGCTGTGGAAATTATCAGCCAGGATAGCCCTGTACAAAGGACAAGCGTTCTGAAACAAAAAATATACTCTATTATGTTGTTAGCAGAAATTAATACTTTAGAACATTTGTGCATAATGTCACAGTCCTGTGGTCTGTTTAAACTTTACATTAGTTAATTGCTGATTGACTGTCTAATCCCTTAAACGCAGGGTGGTCATGCATGTGCCCTTGACATCACCCAGGTGAGGTTGCTGAGGGGCTTTTATCATTATCAACTGAGCGTCGTCTGCAGCTTGCGTAGGGTTTCAGTACCAAATCACCTACCATGTACTGTACATGCGAGTACATTATGTTCTTATCTCTCACTAGTAAGAGTGATAAAGAGATATATGACATGAAGTATCAGTTTAGAAAGGTTTCCATATCAACATCAAAGCAACACATTTTTAAGGAGGCACGGTAGTCTAGTGGTAGGACGCCGGGCTCGTGACTGAAGGGTTGCATGTTTGAGTCACGGCACTGTGTTGTATCTTTGAGCAAGATACTTTACTCTGCTTGTTCCAGTCTACTAAGCTGTAAATAAGTATGTGGTTGGGCAGTGCGAGAATTGTTGAATGCTAGCTGTTAGCACCGAAATGGCAGCTTGACTGTATGCCCCCCAGGGATTTGAGAAAGGTATTGGCTGGTTGCAAAGGCCCTATAACCACGGATAATAATTTGTGAACCGCTTTGAGACGACCTACGAACTAGTTTGTGATAAAGCGGTATATAAGAACCTCAAATTGTTATGATTATTATTATTTTTGCTACCTACCAACCACCAGTTAAAATCCTGGTTTGGGTTCAGCCAAACACATATTTTTTTACATTAATACTGGCCTAGTAATCTCACTGGATGAAAATTATAATCAACAGACATCCCCTTTTGCTTATGTATACTAGAACATGTATATTTACCTAAAGGGCAAGAGGATGAAGTATCTGACAAAACATCCAAGGCACCAAAGAATAGTGAGACGCATACTGCAATAAACAAAATAGAAAATTATACAAAATATAACATTTTGATTTACAGGGCTCACAAATTTTATGTCCATTTTCAAAGAGGATTGGTTCCAGTATAACTTTTTCATAAATTTCACATAAATACCTGATAAATTGGTAGCCTAGTGTCGTTCTTGTAAGAAAGTTCCAACTTTTCAATTCTACAACGGAAACGAACAATAATCTTAGGGGAACATTTTACATTGTCTGTTAATATCCTGGCATATGTCACTATCCAGAAAAATGTTCATAATTTCAGACAAAAATATACTGATCTTTATTAAACGTTTGCTTCTTCAGTATCCAACTTTTCAAGCTTATATCAATTTCCAGAAAATTAACTTGATATTTTTACAGTTGTGTGACTTATCATTTATTTTATGAGTTTCAGAATTCAGAAAATAACGATTTGCTGAGAGGAACTACTTTTTTAACAATCTATTTTATGTACCGGTAACTAAAATCTGTGTAAAATCTTCGAGTTTTGTTTTCCACCTAACCCCTGTATAAAGGTTATACCTGATAAATGAAGTGTATAAAGATTACCAACCTTCAGCTGTAAAACACTGTGTCACATCATCTTCAATGATTGCCTGGAGTAAAAAGGAAAATTTGAAAACAGAATATACTAATCATATGAATATTTTTCTGGCAATAAGTCGATGCCTAGTAATGAGCCCACCATGGCTATATACATTGTAGTTCAGAAGAAATGCCAACACATTCTGTTTAATTGTAATGTAGTAAGTCCAGCTCCCTACTTGAGTCACAGTTTATGTCTTGGCTTGTAAGTCTGACTACTACATGTATATTCCGTCTTTGCGTATTGCAGAGTTTTCTTCTCTTGGGAGCAGGTATTGATTGTTACGTCATTGGTTTGTGTGAGAAAATTACGTCAGTTTCTCAAAAATTGATGACGTTACTCTCACAAACAAGTGACGTAACAATCAATACCTGCTCCCAAGAGCAGATAACTCTGCAATACGCAAAGACAGAATAGCCATTGGATGGAGTACTAGTCATAGTGTAGACATACCATTTCTTTCACACTGTTTAGACCAGAGATACTTAATAAATGAAGTAACATCTTCCATTTTTTCACCAATTCTTTTATTAAACTGATCAATGGGGATGCCATCTTTAATAACCGTTTAATTGAAAGTTTCCAGGGGTGTCAGTTGACCTTTGATCTTTGACATTTAGCAATTTCAGAGGTCATATCACCTTTTCCTAAAAACACATATAAAAAAGTTTTTTTAACCCAAAGGTCCAAGCCTATTTTTGGGAGTCAAAAATATACACTCAATGATCTGATAAAACCTTTGGTTTAAAATATCATGAAGAAATAAAAATCACTTACTTCCACCCCACATTTTGAGAAGTACATTACATCAGAAACATGGAATTCCTTTTTCAAATTTGTAATATCGTATTCTGGCCTCTGAGAAGGCATCTTAAGACTCCCCATGGCAGAGATAGAGATGTCACGACGAATGACTTGCTTATCGTGACCTGAAAAGAAATTTTCAAATATAACAACAAGGTCACAGTTACAATTAGGTTAAAGATGTTTATAAATACAATTAGGTCACTATTACTGTCCACCTTTTTAAGGGACAGGTTGATAGAATATTGTAAGAATTCAAAACTAAAGGTAATCTGAAAGTAAATATGTTTACTTAACAGAAACAGATTTAATCATTCAAACAAAAAATATTTCTAAAACATTCGTATTTCTGACAACATTAAATAATGTTTGGTTGAACATGATTGTGAGCTGTTTTTCAGATAAGGAGAATTTAAAAACTGCTTTATTACTTTAAACATATAGTTCTCATTTTATTAACAAAATGTATTACATTCTTGTACTACATATTACAAAATGTTTATTTTTATTTAGTTTTTGCATATCTTCAGATATTGTGTAGTGGCAAGGGCAATTCAATGCTAACAGGCTGTACATTGTGTCAACACAAATAAATCTGCACACACAAACAATAATATTCAAGCTTTATTCAGCAAACTATTTTTAATGAGAATAAATTTGACCGAAAATGGATTAATTCTGTTTGTCTTCTGCAATGCACATTTTACCTGTATGAGTCAAGTCAACAAAGTCTTGTTAGCTTATCCATGTTGTATTGTTACACTTGTAATCAATTTTTCAACAATTTTACCTTGATTAAAATTGGTCTTAAATAGGAAATGGCAATACACATGTACACGTATATCCTTTAACACTATAGTATACTCAGGCAATACTTTCAAAATAAAAGAACTCGGTCTCACTGAAATGTTTTTAATACAGGCAAATAATTAGAAGGATGTTATCAGCCTAACCTTGTATACATTTCTAAATCTGACTATTCGTGTTCTGTCATCAACATGGCCTGAAGGGATACATGATAGGCAGTTAGATACCACATGCTTGTTTTCAGTTCCCTCACTTTTTAAAATAACATGGGGAGATTTTATTGAAGGGATTTCATTCTACTTGATATGGTATATATAATTATATTAACACTTTTAAAAGATCAAATATAAAGAAAATACAACTTATATATGCTTGAGTTATTATGATAAATTGGTTTCCAAGTATACATTTAACAAATGCATTATTAGATAAACCCTGAATTGAAACTTTAAATGGTAAAAAAAAATTAAAAAAAAATTGAATGATTTATAATGATTAATTGTTATCCAAATATACATTATCAAATGCATGTATATGTATGTATATTAGATAAATGCATAATATAAATGGTTAACATGGGTAAACATGGGTGTGTCCTCCACTCATGTGTACTTCTGAACTATTTTCTCAGCTTCTGGAAACAGTTCACTGTTAGCAAACTACAATGATTACATCTTGATTAAACATAAATAAATAATTTTAGAATTAGTCAAATTAACTACATATCGGAACCACTTGTAAATGCTGCCTGCCCCAATGGAAAAAGACCTGAGTTTGTGAGAGATCCTATATTTTGCCTGTATTTTATTTTCCAATTTTGCTTCAAATTATTTAATAGTTGTACTTTTAACTACAACTGCATACTTTATTGGTGCATAAAGCCTAGTTAGTTCTGTTTTCAATACAAATAAAAAAAAAAAAAAATTTGTATGAATTGACAAAACATATTTATAATATTAAGACAATTAGCAAAGTTATAGTACCATTTTCTCTTGTCACTTCTTCCTCTTCCTCCTCTTCCTCCGACTCCGATCGATTGTAGTGCCTTTTGGTCTCATTATACAAAGCTATCCTCTCTTGACCCCACTATAAAACAAATTCAAAATAAGAGTTAACAGTATATATATATATATACTTATCCTGAAAACGTTTTGCAAATGAAGTTCAAATCACAAAACATTTAAAGTCAGAATTACAATGCAAGTTCTCTTTACAACAATAAATCAATAAATATTCAAGCTTCATTTTTTTTGACACAACCATTGTTTCTCTTAAATGACCCAGATACCCAAGTCCTTGAAAATGGTAGTTGTTATTCCCTACTTAATGATCAGCATTTTAGGGCAACGGCAACAACTGGTTCACCTGTTGTCCGTTTAATGTGACTGGGTATTTAGAATGCAACATGCTGGGTGCCTTCGGCATGGTATTTCAGTGAGATACTTAGTAGCACTTTTATAGCCTGCATCTGATCTGCGCCATCACAAGAAGGCATATACACCAATATACCCTGCCTCCAGCCACTTACAAACATGCATGCATACACACAACATATGAAGACACGTTCTTTGCTGTGGGTAGAATGCAAAACTCTTTACAACCAACCTAAATGACACACATACATATTTGTTCTATTTATTTCCCTTAATATATCTGCAGTTATTCAAAAGTAAACAAAATACATCTTTTATGTCCTAACCATGATCTTTCAAACAATGATCATTAAAGGCACTTTGGTAGTCATAGCAGGGCTCACACTGTCGGTAGCCAAAGTAGCCATTAGCAGTGGCCTTTTGTTTTCTTCCAACCATAATAGAAAACAGAAAAAGGACCAATGAATTAAAAGAATGATGCATCTGATCGTTTAACACAAACATAAATAGATATCTCCAATTCTGCGATGTTATATTAGTTGAGCTATTCTATGAGATTTTTGTTAAAATATTCTTCATATGGTATGTTCATCTCTGCATAGCGATGGTCCTGCAGCACTTCAACTGTATCAAGAGCATTTTCATTGATAAAGAAAATTACAAGATCACTTTTAACATAAATTGGTCCAGCATGCAATTGCCCTGCCATTGGTGTCATCCATCCTTGATATCCAGGGGTTACGCTCACTTTTAAATTTGCTCTCTACACCCCTGGATTAAAATATATGTCATAGCAAAAATGAAGGCACACGGCTAGCTATTTGATTGGTGTCAGGTGAATAAAACCTGACCAATCACTAGGCTAATACTTGTCCTTTGAAGATTACATTTAGGAGCGACGCCTGACTTCAAAGCCTGTCATTTTTTACGCGACCGCAGGATTCTTTTGATGTACCTCTAAGGACCAAACTAGTCGTGTTGTCTTATCCACAAGGTGCTGCACATTGAGCTATCGATTTTGCTAACTGACTGTTTGCACAATCAACAACTATGGACCTGGGCAACGGAAGAAATATCAACAGCTTTTCTCATTTGACATTGATCTCCAGTATGTCTAGGGTTATTGGAAACCTGCCTCTTCCAGGGTTTTAAATTTAAATGACCTACAGAAGGAGGCCTTCATAACATCGAGAGAAATGTTGAAATTTTTGGAATTAACCTCCTTTAGACATTGAAGTTATTAATCCACATGCTATTCCTCCAATCATCTTGATTTTAAAACAGACACGTACAGGTTATATATAATTACTGCTGAGGTTCTAACTGTTGGTTTGAGAAAATATTCCTGACTATAGATACCAGTAGTATTAAAACTGTGACAGCTATATATACATGCAATGATTTGTAACCAAAAAATGGGTGTGTTACAAGCTATACACTTGCAAGTCACACAAGAATAATCCTGTTTTACAAAATTGTAAACAAAATCCTAGCAATAAACCCAACATCTATATTCACCCACGTAGACCCTCGAACCAGACATGCACACCCTTACGCATACAAAGACATATCTGCTACAAAGGACACCTACAAATATTCATTCTTCCCACACACAATAACACAATGGAATCTCCTTCCCATAGCGGCAGTACAATGCACAACACTCTAGGACTTCAAGGCACACACATACCCTATGCAGTCCTTGAACCCCTCAACACGCTATGTCAGCTTATATCTTTTATCTTATAACATGCACAAAAAATAAACCTTATCTAATCACTGTAAATAATCCCTTTTTTCACCCCGCAAAGGTTCCCAAAGGCATACTCATCGGTATATTGATGGAGCCTTTAATTTGTACTCTAAAGAAGACGTTGGTTGTCACAGAAATATTATTTCTGTAAGGCCAAATAAAAAAATATGTGTTTCCTGTTTCAGCTCAAAAAAAATAGGGTAGGTAGGTTGGAAAAACATTTTATTTTATTTATTTATTTGTTTGCTGGTGAAGAAAAACTCCTGATTACCTTTGTGAATGTTAAAAATATGTATTTCCCCTACTGCTTGACACTAGTTTTTAGTAATCCAAACTCCACCGATGGTCACCAGTGTTACATTATCTTACGCATTATTGATGCTTTTTGTTCTCAATTTCCACTGCCACTATTTAAAATTGATTGAACAACAAAATAAGTACATTTATATTAACACTATATTCACATCACAAGTTTTTTAATACGTCATACAATATACAAGTCTTTACTTTTGTGAACTCAATTTCTCCACTCCAAACTTATCTCCAACTATAAACTGTAAAACTATACAGATTTACAAACTGCAGCTAAAACTACTATTATAACTAACTTCCTAATTCTCACTTTAACTATAACTTATTAACTTTCCTCTATATCTCTAGACCTTTCAACTCTGTCTCCCTGGCTCAACCTCCTTCCTCATGATCAAGACTCCTTAACTCAACTTCCCAACCCAATTAACTCTCTTCTCCTCCTTTGACTTCCAAGCTGAACTACCTAACTATCTGTCCCTTAGCAAAATTCTGCTACATTATAAATGTTGATGCTGCTGACCCCCGCCTAAAATTTGACCCCTACATGACTAGGTTCAAATAGCCATAAATTTATCCTGCTAAATTTTACTGGGTGAGGGGATCAGTATCAGCTAACACTGACATCACAGAGTGGACTGCCATCTCCTACACTACAGATGATCACACTAATCTACAGATCCCAACCTATATCATAACCACAATTATCTACCGTTACTTAGCGACTATCTTCAAATAAAACTCTAACACTGACCAGAGATAGTCTGCATCACCTATGTGTTTTGACTGGGGCTAGTTCAAGGCCAGCTCTACTCAAGGGTAACGGGTTGTTTCGCCCTAAATCCCGGTCACACTAATATAAGGGTTGTTTCGCCCTAAATCTTGTTTGCCCTAGGTTGTTTCACCCTAATTTCTTTTTTTGAATTTACATGCTCATATGATAATTAATATTCAAATGTATCAACTAAACTTATTGATGACTTTCTCCATTGGTGTGAGGTATAATTCATGTAGGGTATGTGAGAGCAGAGTCAGCTTTTCAAAGCTGTCGTTTGTCACACTCGCTTAAAAATGACTCAAGAAGTGCATAAATAACATTGCTCAGTTTCTCTCAGATGACATCGTTGTAATTAAGCTAACTAGTAGCTTGTGGTGATGTATGATGGTCCTTTCTTCTAATGTATGCTGTACACACGCATACTAATTAGACTTCTGGTTGCTATATATATAGTTATTTACAGTTACAGGTTCATTACTCTATCTGGTAGGGTTGGTGTATTCAGCTCCCACCCGTTGATTCCTCTCCTTTTAAAATTTGATGGTTAAGACATGTGATTTTTAAAAGCATGGTCAGTGCCAAACATTCAATTTGTTACATTGTTCACTTTTGACTGATTAGACTTGCATATATATATTTAACTAATAAAAAGATGGCTTGAATTTTGTCGGGTGATTTTTCCAGTGGCTGTTGATCAGCCGTGACTTTAAGGTGTTGAGTGTTGGAGAGATTACTACCTCCTCTGTTAGAGAGTTCCACAGATTTATCATTCTGTTGCTGTAGAAATTACCATATTTGTATAGTCTGCATGGTCTTTTGAATAGTTTCCTGGAGTGCCCTCTAGTTCGGTTGTCTTCAGCTTCATGAAATAGTTTGCCCTTGTCAAGAATGTCCATGTTGTTTAGTATTTTGTAGGTTTGAATTACATCAGCCTGATGTCTTCTATATTCGAGAGTTGGGAGTCCAAGTTGTCTTAGGCATTCTTCTTATGGTACGTTTTTAAGAGTTGGAATCCTTTTGGTCGCTCTTCTTTGGATGTTCTCGATTGTAATTTTGTCGCGGATCAAAAATGGTGATGTTACTGTTGTCGAGTATTCCAGATGAGGTCTAATCATCGTTTTGTATAGAGTTAGGAACATTACAGGGCTCATGGATGTTAATGTCCGGAATACTATGCCCAGCATCCTATTTGCTTTTGATGCAGTTAAGTTGGCGTTGATTGAGAATTTTAGCTGAGTGTCTATATATATATAATGGACACCTAGGTCTTTCTCGTGTTCCACTTGATGATTGGAGATTCTTTTCCATCTTGAGTTATGGTGTATATATGGTCACTTTGTCTCTGTCCAAGCTCCAGATGTTAGCACTTTGTGGTGTTAAGTTGCATGAGCCAGGTTTTGGTCCAATCACACATATGATTTATGTTGTCCTGTAGATTTTGGCGGTCTGCTAATGTTACATTTTTTGCAGAGAGTTTTGTGTCATCCGCAAATAGTTTGATCATACAAATTTACATATCAGGCATGTTGTTAACATAGATCAGGAACAGTATTGGTCCTAAAACACTCCCTTGAGGGACTCTACTTGTGGCTGGTTTCGGATTTGAGGTTGTACCATTGATCATTACTCATTGTACCGTATTTTCCAGGAAGGATTTTATCCAGTTTAAAATGTTTCCCTCATTTCCATACTGTTCTAGCTTGTGTACCAGGAAACGGTGTGAGACCTTGTCAAAAGCTTTACCGAAGTCCAGATATATAACATCTATGTTATCACCAGCTTCCAGTCCTGTATGCCAGTTTTCCAGGGATTCTAATACTTGGGTAGAACAGGATTTCCCCGGTCTGAACCCATGTTGGTCTGGTGTGAATAAGTTATTTATGTCCATGTGGGTTAGGATTTCATCCCTTATTAAACGTTGCATTATTTTGGATGGTACTGACGATAAACTTATTGGCCTGTAGTTACCGGGGTCTTTTTTTGGTCCTTTCTTGTAGACTGGTGTCACTGTTGCCTCTGTCCATGGTGTTGGCAGTTGGGATGTGTCAAATGATTATTGGAAGGTGATTTGTAGAGGTTATTTTAAGGTCTCTGCAGTTTCAAAAACAAGTTTTGGATGTATACCATCAGGTCCTGGTGATTTTGTTGGGTTAATCCGTTTGATGGCTTTAAGAACAGAGTCCTCTGTGATGATGATTTCTGATAGCGGATCTTGGTAGTTTCTCTTTGGAAAGGGTGGTAGTGGTAGATCTTGATCTCCAACAAAAACACTTGCGAAGAAGTTATTTATAGTATTTGCTGTGTCTCTGTCATCAGTAGTTATTTCCCCATTTGGTTTTTGAATTCTTCCAATACTTGATTTGACCTTAGTTTTTGATCTTACAATCGAGAATGCAATGCGTTTTCGTCACAGAATTAGTGTCTACATGAATACTTCAGGAGTACATTTCATTATTTGTAATAGGCTGTACATGTGCAGAAAATTTCCATAACTAAATATCCTCCTTTTTCTATTTACACTGTTCTTTATGCTCGATGACTAACCTGCTTACATAGCTCTACTGTATATTTTGCAGGGAAATGTCAGATGAACCCTTCTACGCTGACATGAGCGTGGATGAAATATCTCAAACACAAACTATAACACTGCGCATTTATCATTTGCACATAGAAAATATTTGATTAAACTGTTGATGCGTATACTCACACGAGAACAACATGGCATTGCAAGATAACAACTTAACAAGACAGACATCGGGATCATTACTAACCAACACGACACATACTGTACTCACCTGAAATATTTTCAACATTAAGTCTGCATATTTTCTTCGCATTCCCAGACTCCTTCCTAGTGAAGCCAGAATTATGGATAGCAGTATCAGGAAGCCAAGTGGAGTAAGCAACAATGTTAACACTACCAAGAGTTGTTCGTCCATTTTAGGTCATTGCCACTTTGATGTTTTGAAACCGTGCAATTCAATCGTTTAGAAGACGGGACACTTTGTCTACGTCAAAAGGGCGCTTTAGAATAACTAGCATACAAAGTCGAATATCTTTTTCCGGAAATCAATGTATGGGTACAAACTACAAGGTACAAGATAAAACAAAATGTTTTAAAATCGCCCATTGATAATAGTCAGCATTGGCTATGTAGAGCTGTTATTATGACAAACATGGCGTGTAAAAACAAATAACACTGAGCAAAGAGGTATACGTCTGCAGTGAGTCACAGAGAGGAAACGATGCTGTGAGCTACACATAAAAACACTGAACTGAATGTCGTACTATGGGAAAGTAAATATCTCAAATAAATTGCAAAATAGGAGGAATATCAACATATATGCTAGTGAAGTTAGCTTGTTTATCCATCTTGTGGTCGAAATTGACCCATGATTAAATTGAACGCCTATTTCCCCACATTTTTTGTACATGATATTTGGGGATTTTTAGGATGCTATTGTATATTCAACATTTAATTGACAAAAAATTTGCAAGGAAAAGAAGTGAATATTTCACATTCATAGTCCTTCAAATGATGTTTAGACACTTCCAAAATTGTATGTTTTGTGTTAACTGCTTAAAGAGCGGGTCACTATAAACGACTTATACAAATTAAAAGGCGCCCTTACAATTTCCCTTTACCCATTTTCTGCTGTGTAACATTGCAGTTGTTTGACCATTTGACCAATAAACGTTTAACCTTATTGCATTGATTGACCATTAGGTTTTTTTAAGTTAATGTGAATGATATTTGACAATTACTATTCCGTCTTTTCGTATTGCAGAGTTATCTGCTCTTATGAGCAGGTATTGATCGTTACGTCATTTGTTTGTGAGAGTAACGTCATACCTTTTTGAGAAAATGACGTAATTTTCTCACACAAACTAATGACGTAACATTCTCCAACCCTTCACAGGTGTGTCTCCCGTTTTAGCCGGGAAAGATCAGCTTTTCATCCCCTATGGGGAGACAGCCTCATGCCGATTAGCACGTGTTCAATTGTGACGTCATTAAAATGCGTCATCGGTAATTGTGACGTCATCAAAATTGAATGACGATATGCATACCCCACATGTGTTTTGTTTACAAACATGACAGACTACTGTCGGTGGAGCTGTGATTGAAATAATAGGATGGGAGAAAATAATAATCCCCTAACTTGAGGGTGTAACAGAGAAATCTCCAACCCTCGGGGTGATTTTTTTGGTTGTCTAACCCTCGGCAGAGCCTCGGGTTAGACAACCAAAAAACATCACCCCTCGGGTTGGAGAATTCTCTGTCACAACCTCAGGGCAGGGGAAGATAATATTAATCAATACCTGCTCACAAGACGGAAAAGGCCTATGTCTGAAAGGAATATTCAGATACTCGGACCCGCCCCCGTCCTCCATCCCTCTCTTTTTCACTTCACAATAAATCGAACCACTTTTTCGGTATTTCATCCTATCATTTTATGGGGAGGAAAGGGGGGCGGGGAAGAGGGCGTGTCTTAATCTAAGTTTCGTCTCTTTGGGTAGTGATGCGTCCGATACATAATAAACATATTTTACTCATTGTTAATTTAAAATTAACCAGTACACCTGGAATTTTATGAATTCGTATAATCAATGGTTTTAAACAACATTTTATACCAATATGTATTTCAACTTATTTGGTCCATATCATCACCGATGAACCTTAGAAGGAGGAAAGCTGTATGGTGCAATGCAAGGCATGGTTGGCATAGCGATATCTATTACCAAAGTGTAAACATCTTTACACTTGATGAGGTCAAAGACAGAAAGGTAGCCAGCTAGATTGTCAGTCTGATACGCTATCTTTCAGTGCCATCATTTGGCTTATTGAAGAAGTTTGAGTGGGAACTTTAAATGACACATGGAAAACTTAACGAGCTTCCGTTTTTCAATAACAATACATGTTTTTAAAGGTTCACGAAGTCGTATAACTAAGCTACTCCTAAATGGCTTGTTTGCTTAGTGTTATTTTAGGGAAGTATCTACAAATGTCCACAGAATTGAAGCATGATTCGGGATGCTAAATTATATTTTTGTTATTTTTTTGTGCGAGAATAATCTTTAATCTTCTTTTAGTCAATTGTATCAAAAACAGATATATTAATCTTTTGTAAAAACAGACATATATAGCATACTAAGTATTGTAACTCTGGCATATCGAGAACATATCATTGAGGCATTTAGGTTTATTTCTTTAAAAAGCAGTAACCGTCAGCAAATCTCGTAGTTCTTCATCCGTGACAATACATTACTATGCTTTAACATCAGTAAAGCTAAATATGTAAATATATAACCCGTGACGACACCTTTATATAATACGTGACTGAAGATGCAAAATCCGTGACGGCGCCAGTTATTTAAAACCAATTTCACTCGTATCGTCAAAAACATCATGGTTGTGTTTTTCCGGCCGCTTTAACATAGATAAGATCACACAACTGCATACACATGTCCCCGGTTCCCAGCCCAGCAATTTTAATTGTATACTTATCCACAATAATTTCGTTTCTCATCATTGAGTGGGCTCCAGCAATGCATTTAAGGGACTATTTGACAAACCTCCTGGTGTGTAGGAAGTATTATTAGACACAAATGTGGACACATTACTATTTTGAGACGTTTCTTTGCGTGTTTTAGCGAGACTTATTAGACCGACTTAGACACAGTAATATTTTAACACGTTCCCTAGCTGGTGTGTAGGACGTATTATAATCGCTAGACAGAGACGTAGACACAGTATTGCCTTGCGACATGTTCTATTGTGTACGAAGTATCATATGACTGAGATTCAGAAACAGCATTATTTATATTAAGACATTTCTTGATGTATTATGAAGTGCATTATTTTGTAACTGTTTTACTGTACACGAATTATATTGTACATTTGTTACATTAATGATTGTAACTGTTTTAATGTATTGCACATGGATTACATTGTAACTGTTTAATGTACACGAATTATTTTATTAAAAGTCTGTTTAGTGTACATGTATTACATTTTAACTGTTTTAACGTACACGAATTACACTGTAACTGTTTAAAGTACATTGACTTTGTTACTGTTTTAATGTACATGTATTACATTGTAACTGTTTTAACGTACATTTGTTACATGTATCTTTTTTAATGTATTGTACATATATCACATTGTAACTGTTTAATGTACACGAATTCCTTTTAAAAATAAGCTGTTTAATGTACATAGCTAATGCTCATATCTCCCTATACGTGTTTGCCTACGTGCGTGCTGGAGATGTTAAAAATGATAAATTCACTTTAAAAACAGTTAATTCATTTTTCATCATCCTTTCATATTCACATATCTAATACCGATCATATTCAGATACAGTGTATATAATAACGAATATTAATCTGTGTAAACAATTTTGAATTTCGATTTTTTTTCTTGTTGATGAAGGTAATTGTAATTTCCTTATTTGTAAACAAATCTTTTATTATCAAAATGTCATTTTGAAACCTACACAAATGATTTTGAGAAACATAAAACCCTTTTTGAGATTCCACAAACAGGTACTGTAAAGTCTGCTTCCAAATTGATAAAGGGAGGCAACTCTGAGAGATGAGAATTAGTATGTTTTAAGTACTGTTCAGACAATATGCATTAGTCAACTGAACAATTAATTTTAAAAAAGTAGATCAGATTTGCCTACGCTAAAACAAAATGCACTGGCAATTCATGATACTCACATTCAGACAACTGAACAAGGAAATATTGTTCAGTGTATGGACCCTGCAGACGCGTTGTATACCAGTGTGTTTTCATTACTGTTATTAAGCCAACAAACCTCAGTAAGGATGTTGTGGTCAGGGTTTTCATTATTGTTATAAGCTAGAGGACCCAATGTCTATTAGCTATAAATAAAAAGTAATCAGCAATGCAAAAAAACTGCTGAAAACACCCTCACCAGAGAGTATAAGATTCATAACAGCAATTCTAACATACAGATTATAATATTCTTACCCGGTTTGAACAACTCGTTAAAAATCAAAATAATGCGTTTTCTGATTAATGTTATGAACTATTACACCCTGGACGGGTATCGTTTTCACAAGTGAACACTCTCGGTAGGAAGTTTCTATTTAGTGTGATTTCAATACTGTTACCAAGTCTATTTACCAATATAAGGATGTTCTTTTTATTGTATCACGTTACCGTTATTAAAATAGTAGACTAATATCAGTGAGTTTCTACCGCTGTTATTTAGCTAACAGACCCTGGTAAGGCTATCATCATCAGTTTGTTTTCATCGCAATCATCATCAGTTTGTTTTCATCGCAATCATCATCAGTTTGTTTTCATCGCAACTAAATTGTTCAGCTCGTTTTCGTTACCATTTGAGTGCTTCCATAAATGTTAGATTAAGGCTGAATGCTGTCTTTAATATATTACCTGTATTGATAGAGTTATCTCCCCTAAGGAGCCTTACTATTTTCTGATCATTTCTAGAACAACCGGAAACTACTTGATTATGATCAATTTATAATTGTCTTGCATGAACTATATTTATCCATTTCATATTCATAGTTCAAATTCTTATTAAATAGACCTTTATCATCAATCATATAAGGCTTTTCACAACTGTCTAAAAACGGAACTAACGCAACGGAAGTGGCAGTTAGTAAGCATATATATCATTTATCTCTTTACTAGTCATCATGCATGCCAGACAACCGTGTAAAGTAAATAATTGCACGTCGTATTAGGTGTAACACGTCACTACCGCAGAAAAGGGAGGTTGTACCGTAATGTAAAGGAAGGAAAAAACGTCCATTAAACGTGTCATGATGGCTGGGAGCTGTCGTTTGCTTTGACAAGTGTAGCATCGTTTGTAAGCAGGCCTGTTCACCTCCTGACAGGTGATCCCTCCGGCGCCGCTACCGAGTCGAGTTTAGAAACAAAAGACAGGCACGCAAGGTAGGTTGATATATTTTATACCGTATTTTTACTTATTTCTCCTTTAAAATGGCACATTTAAGAACATAATGTGATTTCTATGTTCGTGTCTTTTAATTTCGGTTTTATATATTTATTGTTTAGTTCGATTTGTTTTAATATACGCAGTTAAACACGCCGACGAGCATTCATTTGTCTTGCGTCGGTGTTTCCTGTATTGTATACGATGTGCTATACGAATTCATCAAACAAAAACTGTCGTCGACCAAGAGTTATTTTAGACGGTATTCTCCGTTATTAATCGTTTTGGTTTAGTATTTTGACTATGATTTACTTTGTTAACATCTACAGTGTATTTAGATGCAGTATTATTTAATATAAACGATCACGGACTATAAAGGAGCAACATGAAAATGAATGCATACTATTTATATTACAACGGATTTTCCTTATTCTAGACAATTCATGCAGGGGAAATCTGTTTTATTTCTCTCGCAAGACCATACCACTCACGGTAAATGTGATTTATTTGTTGAGCAATATTTGTGCACATGTCTATTCAGTTTTCAGTTTTCTCTTTGATAGTTCACTTGAACGGTTTTATACAGTGATGAACATGGGTTCTGCTTGTTATATAAAGTAATGACAGTTTTTCGTGCCTCAGAAAATTATTGCCTCAACTTTCGGGATAGACTTTCTACTGAATCAGGATATATCCCTAATATAAACAAAATATTATTACATACACAATATTGGAAGGCCGATGCTTGGTCCATAAACCAAAATATATCCTTCCCCAATAAGTTAGTAGACCTTCTTTTTCTTACGTCATTTGTAAAACCCTGCACAAACAAAGATTTTAGTCTCTTTCTTTTTCCAACTTCTTCCCAATTTCTCCATAAGGGTTTTTTAGTATGTCTATAAAGGCTTTGAGGGCTGTCCCTGCAACACTGAAAGCGTAATGCTGACAGGCAGTGAATCAGCGAAATGTGGCACCACTCCTACGTGTAACCTCGATAGCTTAATGGACATGTCATCCATTGTATAGCCCCTGTCAAGTCAACCTAACATTGTATTCCAAGAGTAAGGTAAGGCCCTACATTTAGTATTGTTATCTAGTATAGCAAATTGTATATCCCGGTTAAATCCTGTGAGATATCTTCAATTGTATATCGCAGTTAATTCTTTATGATATATCTTCAATTGTATATCTGAGTTAAATCCTGTGAGATATCTTCAAATGTATATCTCAGCTAAATGCAATATGAGGTATCTCTTCAATTGTTTATCTCAGCCAAATGCTATATGAGATATCTTCAATTGTATATCTGAGTTAAATCCTGTGAGATATCTTCAATTGTATATCTCAGCTAAATGCTATATGAAGTATCTTCATTTGTATATCTCAGCTAAATGCTATATGAGGTATCTTCAATTGTATATCTCAGTTTATTCCTATAGCTTATATGTTAAATTGTATATCTCGATTAATTCTTATATCTTACATTGCATATCTCAATTTATTCTTATATGAGGTATCTTATAATGTGTATATAATAATATGGGATATTTCATATTGCAAATCTGAATTTGTATATCTCAGTTGATTCTTATATTATATAGTTTGCATTGTATTTCATATATTATTTTAGACATCTTGTATACTTAATGAGATATCAATACTATAGTTGTATTTGAGATACTTCATATGTCATGTCAGCCATCTCATTTACTTAATATACCGGTGTCTTAAAGCCTTTGGTTTTGATAATTTTGCTATGAATATAGTTGAAAAGCCATTAATCCCGATAGTCCATAGGAAAAAAAGGTTGCTGTGACGCCCTCCGCGCCCTAAAATAATAGCCAAGGTAAATTAACCAAATGGTTTATGTAAACTGTATATCTCAGTTAAATCCTGTGAGAGATATCTTCAATTGTATATCTCAGCTAAATGCTACATGAGGTATCTTCAATTGTATATCTCAGTGTCTTAAAGCCTTTGATTTTGATAATTTTGCTATGAATATAGTTGAAAAGCCATAAATCTCGATAGTTAAATGGATTTGTCATCATTTTTTAGGTTCCGATGCTAAATGGATACCGTGTGTCATCATGTAGCCCCGTAGCGAAATGTACAATGTCACATTAACTCGTAACATTGCTGTTTCTTCTCAAACTTGTAATAAAGGTTATAGGTCCATTTGTTACGTAGTATATAACCCTATGGTCAGGAAAATTCAGTTTTACTTTCAATCATATCATTATTATAAATTTATTATACGGTAATATTATTGAAAATCAAAGATCTTAAATAAAACATAAACTCGATTTTACGTGTGTGTCATTTACAGGTATGTAATGTATGAAACAGTCGGTGAATTTAAACGCATATATGATTTAAAGTGCTGTTTTTTAATTTGAAAATCCACAATGAAATATATATCTTTCAGGTACATATTATTGTTATATTAATACTAGGATTTTCAAACCGGTCGAATATCAGTAACCAGTTACTCGGAAAGTATTCCGAGTGAGTTAATCTGTCGATGAAGTGAATCTGGTAATTAAACATTATTTACATTACATTCCGAACATATTTACACAACCTTTTTTATTAATAAGCATAATAGTTTATTTACGTAGGTCAAATTTTCAACACCAAAAACACCGAGAGTAAAGCTTATCATATTGTTCATGTATTTCCTTCCATTGACACGGACATGTCATTTAATTCGTCATGTCAATTATCACGTAGGCAAGTGAAACGTATGTTTACAAAACGTTACAGGAATTTCATGTCCCGTAGAAACGTTTGGGGCAGCAAACAATCGTGGTTCAAATATTGACCTTTTGACCCATGCTCAGTTTTAATAAGCACATGATTCCGCTGAAACATATGACTTTATGTAAATGTGCCACTGAAGTAATTAGTTATTATAGATGGTAATTTCATTCGACACGCTAATGTTAATGAATTGTTTTGTATAATTGATATCTTAGCCTTAACGATTTAACAAATTATGGCTTTACGTATATTGTCTAGATCACTGGGTCACTTGCTACGTGGAGTGTGACCACAAAACACTGTGGTTAGAATATCCACTCAGGTGATTAAATAAATATCATGTACTGACATACACTTCCCGGTGACCTTTTCGTTACCTGGTGAACCCCATTGTGCATTGTAATTAATTATCGTTATATGATATAAATATTTCAATGGGTTAATTGTATTCATATGTAATATTCCCCCATTCATCATTAGGAATTTGGTCATGTTACTTGTCAAAATTATTACTTAATCACTATGGTTATAGAAACAAAAGATGCTTTACAATGGTATATTTAGCGTTTAGGAACATAAAATAATCTTACTCAGTAGTTACAGCATCATCTTCGAAATTCCAGGGGTTATAATTGTTATATCTAAAATAATATTATACTGTTTTCATCATTTAACAAAATGCAACTTAAGAACCAGTTAAAAGAAAAGAACTACATTTGGCAAAGACAATTTCATGTCCTTATAACCACAAGCATCCTCGATACTCCAGGGGCTACGCTCACTACACTCCTGGGATACGTCATAGCAAAACTGAAGGCACAAAGATAGCTGTTTGATTGGTCTCAAGTAAAAACCCACTGACCAATCGCTATGTTGATACGTTTCCTTCGAAGATTACAAAGGAGCGACACCCGACTTCAAAGCCAATCAACACGTTACGCGACCGCGATATTCTTTTGATGTACATCAAAGGATCGAACAAGTCTTCTTGTCTCATCTACAAAGTAGCGCACACTGAGCCTTCCATTCTGCTATGACATATTCCAGGAGTGCAGAGAGCGAAAGTGAGCATAACCCCTGGATATCGAGGATGAACCACATGACACCGAAGTGGAAGTCCTTAATCGTTATATTAGATATCTATTATAATGTTTTTATCATTAACAATATGACACTTAAGATAATCGTTAAAATAACAGAACTGCATTTGACGGAGAACATTGTGAAACTCAAATTGAAATTACGTCATATTCGCACGTCATTGACCTCCACCTGATTACGATCCAACCCATGAGGGTGTAGGGGCAATGTTTTCTAATATTTGTATTAATGACCTTGACCTGTGTTATTCGAACTAAATTACTGTCAACTGGATGCATAAATATTACATTAGGGGTCAGACTAATTTCCAGTCAGTTATATACTGACGCTTTACAATGATACAAACGACTAACACACAGCTTTGATACAGTACTCTTTTGCACTAATTACCATATGGCTTTGTTTAACATTAATTTTATCATTAAATCAAAGTTTCTCAATTTTAAATTAAAACACTGAATTTAAATTAGAAATTATACATAACATTTTTTTTTTAATTTTACAGTTTATTCGTGAGTAATACATGTGACTTTCTACCAAAAGTTCGCTGTGAATATATTGGAATTGTTACTAATAAGAAGTATCCAGACTGAATAAGTCATTGTGAATAGATAGTATACATACTTTATGCGTTACTTAATTTGAAATCAACCAGTTCTCCTCAAATTTGTGAAATTCCTAAAAATAAGCGGGTTTTTTCGCACCTCCTCTTTTGTTTCTAAAGTAGTTGAGACAAAAATATAATTTTCCACCTTTTTAGCCCCTAGCATCACCGACGTGTCCTAAAAGGACGTACTGTATAGTGCAGTGTAATGCATTTTTGGCAAGCTGTATCTATTACCAAATTTTGTGTCTTACTTTAAATCATTGTGTGGCTCACCTTAACTCTTCGCCAACATTGTTGCATTCATTCACAAATCAAGAAAACGAAGTATTCTCATGCTTGTTTTTCCTTTCTACAGATCCTTTCCACACCATGCGCGTCATCCATTCGCCAGTGTTATGGCTTCTATTAGCTGGAGTCATACTTGTAGTTGTTGAAGCTCAAGGTAAGGTGTGATACAATACGTCAAAATACAGTCAGTTCATATGAAGATAAAACTTGTATTACAGAACCAGTTTGTTCAAAGTCTGTCAAGCTGATGTCATGTAAAAACAAATATTTGATGTTTCAAAAAGAGCAAAAAAAATATTTTGAATCGGGCATGCATGTTTCAGTTAATAAGTCAGTTAGTTGGTAAAACGTTATACTTTATAGGTGGTGTGCACTTATTTGTTGGTGTTCCCTTGATTTCTTACTGTTATGTGTATCATGCGACAGTTCTTTAAAACAAATATGAGTTGTTCCCCCTTCAATGTATTAATAATCATAACTTTAATGTTTATAAGTTCTTATGTAATGTTTTTGTTAGTTTATATATCGATTGATGTATGAAGAAAAAAAGTACATGTTTGATATGTAAATTAAAATAATTAGTTTATCATTGAACATTAGTAAGAACAGTAATGCATAATATAGGTTCTTTCTTGATGATGTTAGAGACATCCATTTATATTCTTTAAATTAAACAGTGTATGGAGAGGAAATAAAACGGCTACCCTTATTACTTTTTAAACTAAGGATTCTAGAACATATTGAAATTCAGGCTACCCCATTTTAGATGAAATTACCTTGGGTCGAGGCGAATATGCCTTATATTCCTGGTGATAAAATAAATTCTGTGAACTATTTATTTCAAAAACAATTTGAGGTCAGAGAACATACGCAAATAATATATAAGCGAAATTTTATCGGCAATCTTGAAAAATGTAATTTGATTCTAGAACATTAAAGCTGATTAATGCAATTATATTTAGTGTAATTCATGATACATATAGAACCCTTTAATTATTGAAATATTTGATAAGGAGCCCGAACAGGGAAAATATTTTCAGATAACTACAATTTTTTCATAAAGAAATCATTCTAAAATCATCTTGTTCGAAGTGTAAAAAAGATAAAAATCGATGAAACAAGGGCAAGTTTTTTATGAAGTATAAAACATGCACAATTTCAAAGAAAATAAGACCATATGTTCTGAAATGGTAAGCGTCTTCTTCAACGTCGACGCAGGTCATGTAGATCTAGGTCAAATTCAAGTACGCTCTCATAGTTTAAACCGAAGAGATGACACTACAAGGTACATGCATACTGATGATCGTAATGTAACACGCTGATATTAATATCAAACAAAACAGGAGGTCACTCTTTACTTCATAATTATGTTATTTTGATTAACGTACTTGTACCTAATTAGTACGATGTATTAAAAGCTCTTGTTTTGTTCTTTGCAGGGGAGTGTATAAAATACCTCAGTAGCGCAGAGGGATTATTTAAGAAGCCATTCTATATGAAGTCCCATTATCAAAATTCTATAATCAGGAATGTGACATTGATTGAGCGTCATTCATATTACAAGTGTGAACCCGCTAAAGAAAAGTATGGAATCGGTCCTGACGGAACCGAATGGTGGGTGTTCAGGGGTTGTGGCGGAGTGTTTGACATTGAGGAATGCTCTCAGGGAACCCCACTAGAAATCAAAATCAAAGAAGACATACCCATTAAACAGAGAGAGATGGAGACGAAAACCATGCAGGAATTCGGAGTTACTCAGGTGTGAATTGCAAAAATAAACTATATATATGTAAATATATAAACACAGAGGAACGTGAGATAGCTATTAATGAATAAACACAATCCATTTTGGTTAGAAAATTACTCAAAATTAAATCTTCGGCCGTTTTTCTTTATCATTAATTTGACATATTTTCCGAACTTTTAAATTCATATCTTGTATATTTAATGTATACCAAATCATTATCTGAACGAAATTCTGAAGTATGTAATGAAACCAAACACTTAGGTGTCATGTTAAAATATCGGTACATTTAAATGCTGGAATACTAAGAGTATTCAGGGTATATCATTGTTAATAAAGTCACGCAACAATCCATTTCACCTGTCATGTACATTTGCACTTTTCATCTAATCCTGAATGTCAGTTTTCATAATATCATTGAAGAAATAAAGTAAAATACTACTGAATTTTGTGAGCACAAAGTTTTCTCTTCTTGACTTCATGTGTTCATTTATGTAATACCTCAGAAATCATCTCAGAATCGTAAAAAGACTGTGAATCAACACCCGTAATGTTTTCACCTTTAACGAATCATGGTTCGCTATGAATCCCAGTCCTGACTCATGGTAAGCTCCTGATCATATCCATCCTCTAATCTATACATTTATTATCTCTCTTTATATATATATTGATATGGAATCACTAATATACTTTCTATAACCATTAAACTAAAGTATGGGTCTTTCTGTCTTCCTCCTCGTAACAATTAACAGAAATCTCCTATGTAATAATAATTAATAATTTACATCATCCTTTACTACCCTTCCAACAATTATCTCCATATGCATAGCTAAAATGCCCTAGTGTCTTTTATAACTAATAGTTAACTTATTCTACATATATCGAACAAATAAATAAAACTCGTATGATATTTAGATATATATTACGACAAGTAACTCGAAGCTTTGGATAAACACATACTAGTATCATATGATACGTGGTGATTATATTATTTGGATATGTAGAAACACAAGTTACGAAGGAGGGCCATTTTTGACTCCTGCCTTTTGCTGGCCTTATACTCAGGAATCGCGGCACCAAACCGCCTATCCGAAAAAAAATGTCCGTAACTTTGACCATGGCATAACTGTGACTTCCTCAGGGAAGGTATTTATAATACTCGCATTTCTAACAAATTATAAACAAAATTGTCTTCCTTCATAATTTGTGGCTCGATGTATCATATTGATGTACTCTCTTACTCTTCTCTGCATACAATGATCATACCCTTGTTTCGTTGTAGCCAGTAAAACCATATAACATATATTACAATATTTAGAAATTTTAATAAATCAGTACATGGACCAAGGATTTAAACTATTTTGCAAAAAGATACGTTTGAAATGGAATGTAACTGTTAATATATAAATTACAAATGTGAAGTATATAGTCATATTAAAAACGTTAAAACGATGAGTAACTCCCTCTTACCCCACCCTTGCATTTCAGTTTCCTCCTAAACCCTTTTTAATTACACGGCACAGATTATTTTTACAAAAGGTTAAGTATTTCCATTTTTAGCTCACCTGGTCCGAAGGACCATAGTGAGCTTATGCCGTGGCGCAACGTCCGTCGTCCGTCATCAACTTTTTCTTTAAAACCTATCTCCTCCTAAAAGCCAAAGAGGATTTCAAACAAATTTGGAGGGAAGCATCAGTATGGACAGGCAATCATTTCTTAAATAAAGGAGGGTTGTTCGACCCCTGAGGCCAGGGGGCGGGGCCCTGATGGGGAGCTTTAAAACGCATCTCCTGCAAAACGCCAGAGAGGATTTCAACCAAATTTAGTCCGAAGGAAAGGGCGATCATTTCTTGAATAAATGAGGTTGTTCAAGCCCTGAGGTCAGGGGGCGAAGGGGTACTTAGCTAAATTTGATTTAAAACGCATCTCCTCCTAAACGCCAGAGAAGATTTCAACCAAATTCAATCTGAAGCATCAGTAATGGAGTGCAATCATTTCTTGAATAACTGAGGTTGGTTCGACCCCCCTGAGGTGAGGGGGTCGGCGCCCTGAAGGGGAACTTAGCTAAATTTGCTTTTAAACGCATATCCTCCTAAACATCAGAGAGGATTTCAACCAAATTTAGTCTGAAGCATCAGTAGGAAAGGGCAATAATTTCTGAAATAAATGAGGCTGGTTCGACCCCTTGGGCTAGGAAGGCCGGGCCCCAAAGAGGAAAATTATCTAATATTTTGCTTTAAGACGCTAATACCCCCTAATTGCCTGAGTGGATTGTACAAAATTTGGTCAAAAACATTATTGAGGAAGAACAAACATTTCTTAATTGAATGAGGATGATTTGACCCCTGCGGTCCTAAGAAATGGTACAGCTAGATTTCCTATTCTCTGGTGTAGTTTTCTTAAATTGTTAAAAATTGGTTTCTAGGTTTATAAAAGCTTATAGTTGATTGAAAATTAAAGTATTGTCTAATTACACCCTGTAATATGACATATTCGAAATCTGTTAACATGGCAACTCAACGGAGGCCCCTGATTAGTTGAAAGTAAAGATGTACTAATGCATTCAGTTGTAATGACTTATATATACAACCAGGTGAGCGATACAGGTCCAATGGACCTCTTGTTCTGTTTAGTATTTTATTTTCATTTAAAATGTCCGCCGCTGACGCTTGCATGTGTAGCAATTTGTAAGGTCTTACCATTCGATTGTGTTAACTTCTTAACATTCGATTTTGTTAACCTCTTAACATTCGATTATGTTAACTTCTTCACATTCGATTATGTTAACCTCCTAATATTCGATTTTGTTAACTTCTTAATATTCGATTTTGTTAACTTAACATTCGATTTAGTTTAACTTAATTACTTAATTGTACTGTGCTGTGTCGAATGTAATTACTGAAACTTTAATAAACATAAGTGATGGTTAATGTGAGGTTTTAGATGGAATCTTATTATACATAAACAGACGTTAACCTGTACAAATTTCAGACAAGTGCTGAGATAAAGGAATTTGGTAAACATCGTATAGAATACACGTTTAGTTGGCGTATACAATTATATCCAGCTCATAAAATTCATCTTAAAAAGTGTTTATATTGACTTTTTAAGGTTGAATTATATTAGTAGCATTAGAAAATCAGATGCATATTTCGTATTTGAAAAATCTTTAGATTAGGAGTTGCAAGAAATGTTGAGTTTCCGATATCTAACCCATATCTCACCCTGACAACGTACTAACATGTGGAGGTTTAGACTACGAAACAATCGATATTGATGTTGATAAGATAAAAACAGAAAAAAACGGCACATCGTCAGGACACGAGGACAAATTCAGAACTCATTATCGATCCTAACGATACTGTAGGAACTGAAACCAAAACAAAGCGTTCTGAAACCCTACAAACAATTATGTGCAAATGTCTGAAAATAATCGCTTGAAATGCGAAGCAGGAAGCAATCATTTGGAAACGTAGTACGTTGATTTAAAGCACCATGTGTCCGTTTCGTCCACTTAGGTTTGATCAAAGGAATGAAACTCGACGTGTTAGAAACATTATTTAACTAAAGCAACATGTGGATGTACCTATCAAAACTTTGAAACGTTAATTTTTTATTTTTTTTTATTAATTATCGTTCACAAAATCGGTTCGCTATTGATAATGGATACCATCAAAGATAGTTAATGGCTAATTGTAAAAGATATCGTCGGTAAAACAATAATATATATATATATATATATATATGATACCTATCAGTATTTATTACTGATAAAAAATATACCACATTTGTTTTTTTAGATATATTATATATGTCTGTAAGTAGATGTAGATTGATGTCCAGTGTTGGAACAACAATTACTAAACATAATAAATTATAGACATTAAAATGCTCTTACAAATATATGTAGTATGTATATCATGTATAGTAGTAATATAAATTTATGATTAAAGTATATAGTTGTGAACTAATTCATGACAAAAGCTGATATATCGATGCTACATTATTTATTGTATGTTACTAATTCTGGGTTAGATGGAACAAGAACAACTATATGTATTCTCTAGTCATTCTCTGTACACATGCATGTCATAAACGGTGTCAGTCTCTTCTACCAGTTTCAACGTTTCACATTTTATGAAAATACTATTTCAGGACCCAAAATGAGACTAAGGGACATTTTTGAAAAATCGTTCAAATCGAAAGAAATATGTTTTGTGTTTGAAGATGATCCTATGTTAGAGAAGGGGTGGGGGGAATGCTTTTCCAAAAAAAAATGTTTGATATAAAAAAAAAAATTAAAAAAAATAGAAATATATTTTAGAAGAGAGAAAAAAATCTGTTCAATATATTCAATTAACACCACAGGTGTAAACTTCCGCTTTCTGTCTGATAATGGATGAAGTAATGTATTTCTCTTTTTTACTTTTGTCTCTATTGTATAACAATATAGAATACCCCGTATTTAACATTTTTCTATACATGTATCTGATTGGTACAATGTATTTTGAAATGAAAAGCAAACACATTTTATACATATTTCCATGTTTTATTTCCATTTCATTTTGTTGAGAATTCATTTATTGTCTAGATATCAACATTATTCCATTTATAAGAGTATCAGAACATGTATTGAGCATTCGATCGAGATGCTGATTCAATCTATTAAAATCTTTTTTTTTAATATTAACAATTTCATAATCTAACTTGTATTTTCGTTGCTTTCAGAGGGAGATCACCGCCTTCTGATTTTTCGTGACGGAGATTAAAAGTATTTTAAAGAATTTATATCAAAATCTGATAATAAAGGGAAAGGTCTTTAGTGCTTATATGTGCTGTGGGTTTTAGTTTTTTTCGTGAGTTTTTTTTAAAGAATAATAAAACAATATGTTCATCTTGGTATCTGATACGCATCGAAGTATTCATTTCATTTCTAGTAATTATAAATATAAAATATCCTACAGTTACTCAAACTTTTTTAACCTGTAGCTAATATAAATTTTCAAAATGTGATCTTTGCGAATTAATTTGATAAACGAATCTGATAGGATTTCAAGACAGTTGTTAATATACTGCACTGTAATTTTACGTCATTCCGTCTTTTTAGATGACTTGTCAGTGACTGAGTTGGACCAAACTGTTAACAATGAGGTGACTATAGTTCGGAAGTATTAACAATAGAAGGTTACCAATAAACTATATATCACATACGTATAAACAACAGAACGTGAACAACTGACTAATTATATTTTATGAGCTGAAACAACAAAATTTTAATAACAATAACCAAAACAATATTTCCGAAGTACAAATAAAAGAACATTAACATTGAACAATAATTTATATGTAAAAACAAGTGAACTTTAACAATGAATTGTATATATACCAGAAGTACAAACAACAGACAAAATACAATGACCATTTTTTTTTTACAATACTACAAACAATAGAGCAATCAAAATAAACTAAATATTTTTTAACACAAACAACAGAATGAACTCTATATATTCTAGAAATACTAACAACAGATATTTACAATGAAACAAATACAGTTTTGCAAGTCAATAACTAAGAACTAAAACCAAAATAAGCTTGTCGAGGGTCTATTCCGTCTTTGCGTATTGCAGAGTTATCTTCTCTTTGGAGCAGGTATTGATTGTTATGTCACTTGTTTGTGAGAGTAACGTCATCAATTTTTGAGAAAACGACGTAATTTTCTCGCACAAACCAATGACGTAACAATCAATACCTGCTCACAAGAGAAGGTAACTCTGCAATACGCAAAGACGGAATATATTGATGCTGACATTGAAATGTAGGATCGAAGAAATTTTGAATTCAAAATGATAATCAAATGTAAGGTAAAAAAAAGATTTATTGAGCTTCTATTGTGTAAAGGCCTATATAAACAAAAATGCGATGAAAAGAATTTAACGTAACAAAAGTAAATATATTATCTGTCATATATTTCGTTACTATTCGAATAGAAAATACCATCAACTTTTATGAGTCCACACAATTACTAAAAGAAAAACGCCAAATTTTCGAGATACTCCAGAGTTTACAGTTGTTCTTCTTTCACTTCGTAAAAGACCGATACAGTCAGCTGGAATTGTTCTCTGTACTCGTGGATGGATAAAAGGATTTGTAACAACAATTCAACATTACTCATATACAAGTGTTAACCTTACTAAGGTCTAAAAGAGGAACACGATGTTTCCATGGGTTATCTATTATAATATTTTTAATTTCATACAACAAACTAACAGTATTAACATATTTTTATCATCCACGTACTATAAATCATAGCCTAGATATTTTAACATCTCTGAAAACCGGAAATATGACACAGATGATACATTTTAACGATGATATTTGCTCAAAATAAATATTCAGAAAAACATGATATTATTTAATGCAGGTAGTTTCTGTTACTTCATGCACATAGAAGTTATAGGTCCACAGCAAAGACATGACAGGCATTATCAGTCATAATAATCCGGCGTCACTTTCCTGTTTTTGTACCTGCAAAGTTGCAATGATAATAATGAGTGAAGTGGATGACTTCCATTAAATTAACATATTTGTTTAACCTTTTCATATTATTTATAAATAATTGCATTTTCGAAATTATGCTGCCAACGTAGTCTACCAACACGGCAAATTTCAAACACATGCAAACGCTTTTATCGTGTGGGCTGACATATTTCATTTAATTAAATATCAACATTATTCAAGTCAGGTAAAGAGTCAGGCAGTAAGTAAGGTAAGGAGTCAAACTGAAAGTAAGACAGAAAGTCACACTGAAGGTAGGATAAGGCGTCATGCTGAAAGTAGTATAAGGCGTAATGCTGAAAGAACAGTAAGGGTCATCCTGAAAACACTGAGATTATCGAAGTGTCAGTAATAAGGCAAGGTAAAGAGTAACACTGAAAATAAGGTAAGGAGTTTACATTGAGACTAAGGTAGGATGTTATACTGTAAGTTAGAAAAAGTGTCAAACTGAACATGTAAGGAGTTATAATAAATTTTAAGTAATAGGGCAGACTGAAAAAAAAAATCTAATTTCATATGATTATACAGTACTCACTTTTTCATTGCGTTGTAGCGTACTTCAAAATAGTCGATGCTGAAAAATAAGATTTTGCATACATACAATATGATACTTTATAATAAATAATGCAAGAACTTCTCACAAACAAAAGCTTCTAGCCACTGACCTAACAATCGTAATATACTGAGCTAAAAGTTGTTGATAAAAAGTCACTTTTTCATTTTTGCTTTGTTATAGAATAGAATAAATTGTATCACGGCATCACTACAAAAGAAAAAAGTCCGTAGTCGATCAAAAAGACAAAAGAGGAAACGATGAGACATGAATACAAAAGGAAAAGCATAGTGATACCCCGTAAAATACGATATGTTTTCTTGAGAACGTGTCATTACTTGAATTTAACTTTGACTATAAAGACATCGACGAAGCAGAAGACGCTTACACTGCTGGCACAACTGGTTCTGTGTTCCTTGTACTTTTAAAAAAAAGTCTCCATGAGATGCTTTCCTTTGTTCATATTTTGCTATATTTTTATCGATTTTGAGTTCGATAACAAGTTTGTGGACACTCAGTATTTTTGTTGTTGTTTTATTGACAAGGCACAAACCAAATTGTTCAATCTCGCATTTCAATAAAAGTACAAATGCTGTCATATATATATATGTATACACTATACCAGTTTATATTAATTGAAAACCAAATCAATACATCAAATACCATTCCGAGACAAGTATTTTCATTTAGAATTGAGAACGTCCGGATCTTTTAGATTACATAGGTTAAAACTTCTGTTAAACAGAAATTATAACATGAGTATTTTGGTAACAGAGGTTTTGTTTAAACAGGTATTTCGTTAATATATCTTAATGTCTTCATAAAGTATACTTAACCCTCGCAAAGATCAAGCCGAATTAAACATCGATAAGGGTTAAGCATTTCAATAATACTTACTCCTCATTTTCAGGTTTCACCCCACTGTAACGATAGGAAAGTACACAAATTTACACGTTCATTAAGTAATATAATTTCTTCAATATTAAAGACAAATATTAATATGAATATGTAGAATATTGCGAGACGGCTCGTGTGTTGTTTTCAAAACATAATTATCAAAACACATCATATCACATGTATTCAATACATATTATCTAAGCATACCATTTTCAAACTGCAACATATTGACCGCATAAATCATCAAGAACTATAATTATTACATAATTTTGTTTATGGTATTATTACAATATCTTATATTCCCTATTAATATATATATTTTCTTTGCAACCAAATTCATTTAAAACTGTTTACGCTACTTCTCAGTTTATGAGAATCAAACTTAGTGACAACATTTTCCGGGAAAATAAACAAGAGGAATTTACGTACTCGTCATAGCCTTCATCCTCGTTCATTTTTCTGTAATACTTTGACGCTCTAACAGCCATCACAACAGACGGAATAGCAAACAACAAACCCCAACCGAGACCGAACCAGAATCCGTTCTGTGTAAAAAAAAAAGGTAATAGTACAAATTAACACAATTTTTTTCCGGACAAGAAACTCAAGTCACATTTAAAGAAAAAAAAGTGGAATTGGGTCCCCCGAATTGGTAATATCACAGTATCCTTTTTTAACGAGTACCCAACCTATCACTTCATAACCAATATTTCATATTATTGTTGAAATAAAAGATTTTCTGTGTTCGAAACCATGAATGTGTGAGGTTGGTTTACAACAAATTGTTTGAAAAAAATATGATCGAATACACCAAATCAACACACTCTGTGTTAAAGAAAATGATCAATTACTAGTGAAGTTAAAATGTAACATACCCTGAAATTACAACAGCCTTATTATCAACTACCTATTAACTAAAATACATTTTAGAGGTTTTTTTTATCATAAAATACCACTAGCGAAAAAGTCGTTTACTGGTTATGCACAGAAAGTTAAAAACATTTACATTATATGGGCATCACCTGTAGCCGATTAATACAAATGGGTAGAGGCAGAAAGCTTCAAAAGTGGAAAAACATAAAATTGTTAAGGAAGAACCATTAAATCTAAATATCACTATTTTGGGAACCTATTCATTGGTCATTATTCCAATCCTCGCGATTAATTGCTTGAAAGTAATATCACGAAAACACGCAGATGACCTAGTAACCACATTACGTTATTGATCAAGGGGTATGTTGTCACTTGTGTACTTTATCAAGCAACGGATGAAGACATTACAAAATAAATGCAATCGTAAAATATAATCTCTGACATCTTACGTTATAGCTATCACTGATGTAAAATTAAATAAACATCAGCATGATTCACACTTACTAATGCATCCACGGTGTAACTACACAACATAGTTGTCATAGACTCGTACAGAGTCCAAAGCGGTAGACATTTAGCCAAGTCGTTATACACCTGCAAACATTGAATACATTCAGTTAAGTATCTTGTATTAAGTCATTGTGTATATCTACCAATGTCAGTATGAACACTCACATATTTACTTATAATGAGACAAAGTAGATTGTGACGTCACAACAGAAAACGACTTGTGGTTGTAACGCCTTAACAAATGTTCCAAAACAATGATATTTTTAACAAGTCACTTATATTCTGTTGAATGTCAGATATATACATGTTGGAATATATCCCAATCAATTAATTCCCTTAATTAAATCTCCATTTACCTTGGAAAAACATTGCACTGCACCGAGGATTCACATTTTTAATGATAAGGATTATCTTTTTATGATGATAATTCTATAATTTAAACAATATCAATAAAATGACAAATATTAAAAAAAGAAAATAATTACAAACAATATCTTACCATGTCACGAACTTTGAGAATATACGAATCAACGTAGGACAGCATTTGATCCTTGAAGGTAACAGCAGCTGATGACAACACGGAAGTGACGTTGTTTTGAATTTGGTTATCTGCCTCAGCAGCTGTAGCCAACACGTGGTCAATTTGTGCCTGGGGGCAAACGATTTTAGAACGTTAGAAGAAAAATGTTTTCAAACAAATATATATAAGACACAAGAAGAAAAACCAATATATTATATATAGAAAAATATGATAACAGAAACCCATTAAACGCAAAAAAAATCAATAACAAAGCACAAAATGAAACTCCTGCCCGAACTCCAAATCTGAGCAAGCATGTAAATCTCTCTAAGATATAAAATGATAAAAAAAAGTCGTCGTTAACAGAACATTTGTTACAATGAAACTGGATTTTTTGGTGTGCAAAAGGTGGTGAGAAGAACGTTTTTGCCAGTGAGATATCTTGATGAAACTGATATCTTTCACTCTGTGACAAATATCAAAAGGGATATTTTCACAGTGCGAAAATATCACTTTTTGGTATTGGATCCTGATCCTATTCGATGCATTTAAAGACAGCGAGTTTTGAGATTCAAACGAAGCGACGGTAGAATAAGTGGTTGTTATGGTAAATGTTTGGTACACACACTTAAGGATTTATATTTATTTACAATTAAAAAAAAAATATAAGCAATCATACCAGCAAAAAGCAGAAAACGTTGGAATTGCGTTGAGTATCCCATTCAAAATGGCGCGCAGTCATTAGAATATTGCGCTAATTGTTACGCTCCTGATTCCCGCCCTTTTTAATGCATTGATTTTTTCTTGTTTTATGCTTTATAAATGTAATAAATAGAAAATTAAATTGTGTCTTCAGTAATAACAATGTATTTCAGTCGCGTAGTTAATATTTTGAGCCGCACTCGTGACACATGTTTGTTATTACTGAGAACACCATTAAATATTATATACAAGAATATATTTATTATCTTTGACACAAGTTGTCATAAAAAAGAAATGTGTTATTTTGCATCATACACTTACTGTGACCCCTCCTATGGAATTCTCCAGAGCACTTAAGGATGTCTGTAGGGCTGTCTATAATCAAAAAGAGGAAACGCAATAAGATACTAAATATAACTATTCTATAATATAAAGCCTATGCTTAAATAACAACAGTATGCGAAATATATATTCATGTTAGAAAAAAAACCACACACTCGTATTGAGTATGCATGTTCCTTTCCATAAGCATAATTATGAATACTCTTTGTTATTTCGCATAAAACCCATTACCGTATATCCAACATTCAATTTCAAAAACCTTATTGTGCACAATAAAAAAAATTAGGAAAAATATTAAAAAAAAATTACAGTTACACTTACAAGAAAAAATTAGCAAAACAGAACTTGTGATGTTAAACATAAGTGCTATTTAAACTCCGCGAGAAAAATAAAAATTCTTAAAGGTCCATCCCTTTAAGGATCACCGTTCCAATGCATTGTGTTTTTCTGTATGCAGTAACCTCCCTTTAACTTCCGCTTGGATATGACCGCAGCACAACTGGGCACATAGTGCAATCGGATTTAACGGTAGTATATTAAGTATATCAATCTGAAGTCCGAGGTTCGAATCTCGGTCTAGCCCCAGTATTTTTTTTAACACTCAAAAAACTAATATTTCTTTATATTTTCATCTTTAATTTTCTCATAATAGTCCGGCAAGGTATGGTTTTCTTTTTAGAAATGATTTATCAAAGCTTCAGTCATGCCAGAAAAACAGTTACCTTAGCCGATTCCACAGCTGGTATCTCCACATCTCTTATAGTTGTCGCTGTCGATATATGGGTCTGCCATCTTGACTAAAACAATATTATTAGGAGCCGAACATAATACAGGCAGTACTCAGCTTTGCTTGCCTGTAGTAGCTTAATCACAAATAATATCATAATTAAATGAAATTTTACTTATTTTGGAATATTTATCTATTACCGAATGCATAGTACATACAACTTTAAAAAGAAAAAAACAAGACAAGTTAAAACACAAACAAATACTACGGAGTCAACACAACGACAAAAGACATCATGAATAACGCATATTTCCGGAAATTACTGACTGAATCTCTCATACTTTTGATTTTTTTTTTCAAAATAATAGGTTATCTGAAATGCCCGGATGAGAGCTACTTCTGGTATTATACACGAAGGGTATTATTGTAATGAACGATGATTAATATCAAAATCTACTTTTCTGGTGAATATGCAAATTGGAAGCAAGTTTTAATCAAATAAATTGTTTCATTTCTTGGTTTTTGTATAGAAATCTTCTGATAGTAAATAACAAAACTTGGACTCAAACATTTCATACCTCTTAGTTTGAATTCGATTATCAATTTGAAGTAATTATTATAACGACTCCGATATGTATAAGTTATACATAAAATATACACAGCAGCACATTGATCTTACCTGTGTGGTGCCAGAACATTTAGCTTACCTGTGTGGTTCCTGTACATAGGCTTTCAATAGCCGTCATCGAAGAGATGAGCGATGTGAAGTCAACTGACGTGATACTTTGGGCAAGCTGTAAATATGAAAAACTATAAATGTTACAAACGTTACCATTAGGTCAATATTTAATTGAGTCACATGTATTTGCAATTTCGAAAGAAACCTGAACATCAAAGACAAACATAAGGAAAGTCAAAATTATATTTTACTCTGTGTGTACATATAATACCCAAGTTTATATCAAAATGCATAGCGGTATAAAAACAATTAAACGTCCATGTGACCGTATAAACATAAACAACAAAACAAAACACCGAAGACTAAATTTACGAAATTTAGTCTTCGGCGTTTTGTTTTATTTCTATTATAAAACAAAATACATATAAGTTAAGGAAAATAAAGTCCCTGCGTTTGGGGATCACATTATCCACATATCATCGCACCATTTTCTGAATAACTCAAATATTCAGCAAAATTAGGTCTAATATCCAATTGTTTTGGAATTGGGACCAAATACCAAAATGGGAACTTTATAACGCTTCAGCGTCTGTTTCGCTGCTGCAAACATTCTATTTTAATTCAGTGACTTCATTGTTGTAATGTATGTCAGTACAAATTTATTGCTAAAATGGAACATACTGATTAAATAAAATAATATTATTTAACAGTCACAATTACAGTTCTACCTTACAAGATGACAACATCAAAGTTATATAACGATTAAGAATTATGAGTTCAATCAACCAATATAAATTACTCGTTGGCCCGGATTGTTATGCGCAATGTATCTGAATTATTTTACAATATTAAAGACTATATGATATACTGGACAACTTTCGTCCAGTTAAATATTTGACTTGGACCTATAAAATCAATGTTCGCCTATTGTTAATTTCACCGTTCACATGTATTTTATATATATGTAGCATGTTGTATACTAAAATTCGCTGTCATGATAAAGTCGTCGTCATTAAGGAGGGGGAAAAAAATAAAAACTGCGGCGAAAATTTCCAGTTCACAGTATTTGTTTTACATTGCATGTTATAATGGTACAAGTTAAGTAAAGCTATTATTCATTTGCTGGTTATTCGATACATATGATACAGCATTAGGCTACTCACCGTTGAATTCATAGTTCCAAAGTCTATCGAGTCTATGCCCGAGGTTTTGAAGTCGTTTAAACTGTTCTGCATGTCAGTTGTGAGTACCTTGAAGTTGGATAAATCCACATTGTTGGTCATGTCATTCAACTGAGAGTCGATGTCTCCAAGGTACTGAAATGTACAACAAATGCACAACAATCTTTCCAGATTTCTTTCTGTTTTGTTAACCATAAAATATATAACGTTATCCCGCCTGACTTGCGCTGATGAGAAGGTATTTTTTTTGCTACAGGTAATGGTGCAATTACCCCTCATTTAACACCTAACGTATGCCATCCTGCTATATTCTAGAAATGAAAGTACTCTTGTATGACCAATTCTGAAATCGTATATCAAATCCTAGATAAAAAGGGGCATGGTCATTTGTAAACCGTATTAACATAGAAAGAAGGTAGTTAGAGCAACAAGGCCAGAATTAATAACTGCGGTGGCTGACTTTGGTTTTTCGACTTTTCGCTTTTGTCGCCTTTCGAAGCCATTGATTTCCGTGCTTCTTGAAATGCCTTTCTGTGGTATGATATGAGGGGGAAAAGCGCTATACGTACCGAAAAAAGGAACAAAGATGAAACGTAAGAAGATGCTTCTCATACGAGTGGCTTAGAACCTTTTGCCAATTTATTTCATCTTATCCGTTAATAGATTACTTATTTTCACGGCGTTAAGGCGCCGTTTCGGAAAACAATAGCACTTTTTCGATTTTGCTGTGGCAACAAAGCGCTTCGGGGAAAAAGAAATGGTTGAACAAACGAAACTATGTATTACAGAGCAACAGCTGGGAAGATGATTATTGCATTTGTCCAGGACTAACTTGTATAAGCATGTACATTATAGGAACAATGCTATCACTCCCATTTCAGCGTGTATACAATACAGGAACGAGGCTTGGAAGTAAAAATATTTCTCCCTGACTAAGACGTCTTACCTGTGAGTAGTTGAGGGCGCTATCCAAAGGTAGAATAGCGTCAAGGTGTAGCAGATTGAATGGTGCTTTGTTGGCCCGACATCCACTGAAATAAACAATACTTCAACTGATCCTCCTGATAGCTAAATAAAATTCCCCTTAGAGTAGTATGAATATTATAGACACAAAGTGGACAGTTTGTATGCAGTTACATGAGCAAACAATTACAACTATCAGAATGACAATGTATAAATGTTATACGATATTCAGATTTGATTTTATCATTTTAAAGATAAAATCTAGAAAAAAAATCCAGTTCTCAACTTCCCATATCTACCAAATATGTGCACAAGACAATGCTACATATTTTTCACAGAATAAAACGGGATGTTGCAACATAACACATTGCAAGAGGATGGCTTCAAAATTTGTACTGTTTAATTGATTGTTATGAATCCATTTAAACATTAAAACAGAAACATATAAATAACACTTGAAAATACCCTTATTAAGGAAACGTTTCCCTTTTAATATATACAGTAACCTAGATGTGTAAAGTATATATAATATACAAAACATAATCGAACACCAAATCAGAAAACCTAGTTTCACCATATTCATTATAAATTGTGAAAACGTACGGTAGTGTTGTCACCAATGGTGATATTTTTTTTTAACTATCTCCAAACCTAATAAATTATACTGTTCAATATCAATGCCACCAATCATTAGGGGAGCTCTTTATTCATTGTTGCTCATGCACGATAACCTGATACACTTAGTCGTGATGAGATCACATGGTCATACACTACAAGCACCACTTACATTAGTAGACTGTACATGCTGATGGTTATGGTCGCGTTATCCAACAACATTTCCCCCAAATTAAAACTCGTCAGGCCCCCAACGTCCAGAAACTGAAAAACATAAATGATTCGCTATCTGCTTCCATTTTGCTCATTTTATATCATAATATACAGTGTTTTTTACAACGTGTTTACACTAACAACTACTGTTATATATTATCTTCCTACGTTCATTCAACTGTTTTTATTTTAGTTTTTTTTGTTAATGTATTTTGTTGTGGGATTGTTTCATAGTAATTGTTAATCTTTGTTATATGTTGTGATATATAAGTGTTCATGTTTCTGTTTTGAAACAGGGGCGGATTGCTTAGTAAATTAGCCTATTTCTTTTGTCTTCTATGGTGTTACTGCCTCTTTGCTTATATATTTTAATATAACAATATAAATATATAAGCAGAGAAGTAATAGAGGCAGTGCAAAGTAATTTGTAAATACTTCAAGGCATGACCGAAACATATACAAATCCATATCACATCATATAACACATGGATAAACAATCACCATGATACAAAATTACAATAACAAAATACATAACAGAAAACCAGTTAAATATAACAATACGCAATGATAAAGAAGTAAGCACAACACGTTTAAAACCTTTTTTGTATATATAAATCGCTAATACTAAGAGATCTTAGGTTTCTTGACACACTTAATTGGTTGTTTCAAGACACTGCATTCTTTTACCTGCACCAAATTTGCACATGACAAATATGTCTCTTTCCGAAACAATTTAATGTGAAATGATAAGTCTTATTTGTTATTAGGATAGCATATATCCCATTGAGGACATTTTGATAGAATTCAGGTAAACCAAAATTGTATTTTAACAAAAAATAAATGATAAAGACCGCAAAAAACTTAGAAAAGGGGAAGGGATTTATATAAATCAGATCAATAATCTTTGGGTTTTTTTAATGTTTGCATCCTGTCAATTTCACATTCAAAGGAAATCTACAAATATCTTCAGTCAATGCCGAATGTATTAGTGCTCTTTATAATTTTGACATCAATAAACAATACGTCAAGGATAAGGGACTAATTTCTACTAGTAATAAAACTCCGTATATATATTCCTTTTCTTCGTGAATGTGTTGGTATATATCATCTTATGTTAGGGAAAGACCTCAATACTTTTTTGTTAACAATTGCCGAATCCTATTACAATTCATGACAATAAAACATGTTTAAACTGACAGGATGTATACCCCACCTCTTTGAATATGGTAAGGTCAATCAGTGTCTGACAAATTTTCTCCAAGTTACCACCAATCATAAATGAGAGCGTGGTCAGCAGCATCAGGAACCCGGACAAGAGAAATATAAGCCCAGTGCCTCTGAAACGATTAAACAAATACGAATATGTCAATCAGGTTAATGACATTAAAGACGAAGAACGCAAAAATGTCGTTTTATGAACACGTCATAATCAAAACCTTGATTACTGATCGGGAAAATTAAAAAGAAAAATATAAAAAAAAATGATTTTTTCTAAAATTTACCAGGCTTTAAATTATCTGCACACATAAGATAGTATAAGAATTGTCTTAAACGACATCGAATATGTACAGTTCCAAGACATTACATTCAATACAATCAATTAGAAACAAAGAAAATGAAACCATTTAAAAATAAACATTTTTCCCGGAAACAATGCGGAAAGAAAAATATGGAGGGAGGATGATATATGTATAAACAGAGTCTTAACAGACTTATAATTTACCATTTCTAAATACTTATTTAATTATCAATGCAATTTCTTGACTGTTTTCTATACAAATTACAGTGTTTATGATATGACATGCAATATGAATTCACCGTACAGTATCATAAGACAGCCGCCACAACTAGGAATACAGCCTCTCTCCGTTGGCCGGACGTTCTCTCCCAGGCATGCGCACCCACACAGGATACCGATTATAAACATTAGCGGTATAAGTGAGAACACGCCCATCAAACCATACCCAAAGTATATCCTGTGAGATAAAACATAAAAGTAAGTATTTGATACTGTAACAATATGCACAGTGTCCTATATATATATATTCAATTTTTAAAACATCCGACACGATACAACTTTACAAATTGAATATACATCAAAATTACAATATTGGAACTTTGAAGAAATTGAATACTTATCATTGTTTTCCTTTCTTTCGCTTTCTTATATGTATATCAATGACATACCTGCTGAATGTTATTGAAGTAATATAGATAGGTTTCAGTCAATGCAATACAAGGTCCTTTATTTCACATTTTTTTTAAGACAAGATATTGTATTACCCCAAATAGATAAAATCGATGATCGAATCGATGAATTGAATCAAGCATTATTTCGAACAGGTAAGTGCCAATCTACGCTATGGTGACTTGATGTTATTATTTCGACTTCGACGTCGTATTGTCCGGCATTGTTATAATTTAGTAAATGTTTTCGGGAAGCAAAATGAAAATAAATATTAGGTAATATCCTAGTAATGTCATATCAAGCACGATCGTAAAATAAAAGCAATAACACATATATGTTTTCAGCTGACGTCTCAGATTGCACTCGTTCATTAGACGAGCGGATACATTTCATTTTATCTACCTAAACGTGCAATGTACTCGTGCGATAGGAGCTCAGATGAACGTATATGGGGTGTTGCCTAAACAATTTGTCCTGGGAATAAAACATTTTGAAACAGAATGATGAATGATGTTATTAGCAATAGAAGAAATGTATGAACCTTTTCGTTTAGTCAATCTTTGACGAAATTAGTAGAACCAGCAATGAGGATGTATTAACGCTTACAATGTTTTGAGTGTATCAGAAATATTATTATATACAGTGTAGACCTCAGTATTGAAATACTTCCCAAATAGCAGGAAACACGCTCTGACATTGTGCAGGGTTTAAGGGTTTCAACTAGAAGCAACTGCAACTTTATCTAAATGGCATAACTAGACTTAACAAAGGACAGTGTGTGAGTGATATAAAGATTCTACAGTCCTATACATTTCATTCTTCATTACTGCCTTGTTGTTTCTAGTTATAGTATACCTGTATAGATCGTAGTCTTTTGCTGTTGTAAACAGAGTTTTCATATCTGCCTTTATTTTATCCGTTGCAAACTCCTGTAATGATAAGTTAATGAGTAAAGTAAAGAACTCGTGCAAGTAAATGTCTGGTAAATGTGTATGGCGTAAATTATATTTCTATATACAATAAACGAAATTTGACAAAATTTCATTTTTTTTCTTCTTCTAAGTTAGAAATGTTGACTTGTTATTCATTTGAAGCAATGGTAAATATTACGATGCTATTATTTTTGTTCTGTTCGCAACAAATTGGTTCGAGTAATTATGAAACAAATAATCAAATAAGATTCAAGTGAAAAATAGAAGAGAGAGAGAAAGAGAAAATATTTGTAATTGAATTTGTTAGCTTTAGCAAAGCTGGCCTGAGGCTAATCATAAAATAAATAATAATCATATACTAATTCGAGGTTCATATATACCGCTTTATCACAACCTAGTTCATAGGTCTTCTCAAAGCGGTTCACAAATTATTAATCGTGGTATCTTTCTTAACTCCCTGGGGAGCATACAGCCGGTGGTGCCATTTCGGCGTTCACAGCTAGCATTCTACAAGTCTAGCACTGCCCAACCACGTACTCATTTACAGCTTAGTAAACTGGAACAAGTACAACACTGTGTCGTGCCGTGACTCGACCCCGCAACCTTTCGGTCACGAGCCCGGCTTCCTACCACTAGACTACCGTGCCTCCAAACATAATCAAATAATCAAATGTGATTCAAGTAAAAAAAGGAAGAGAAATACAAAAATATTTGTAATTGAATTTGTTAAGTATAGGAAAGCTTGGCCCGTAATCATTCTCATTCTCTAGCATATTTTTTTTATATAATCCTGTGACACGGTCAGACAGTCGTCTGTGACCATTTAAAACAGCACGCGTCTTGAGGTATCTCTCAAATTCTTCCAAAAATGTTGACAAATGTAATGTTTTTGGTTATTTATTTCTGGAGCAAGAAATACACCTGTACGGACCATGGCCTGACACTTTTACTGTTAAATTAGTAATAAAAACTTACGCTGTCAAGGTTTCTGATGAGGTCGTCTACCATTGTATTGAGTGTACCCTTGAAGGTATTCATTGTCGTTTGAAGGGCTGGAAAAAAAAATCAACAAATTTCAACTTCAATAGTTATTACATTATTCTAGACTCATTCACAAAATCTGTGTTTCTGTTTTTCTCACAATGCCCGTACATGTTTAGGTTTTTAATAATAGCAATGTGTATGAATCGTGCAAAGAAAACATTCCGTATAGCAAATGGCTTCGTCGTCTGCTTTAGAAAAATAATAAGCTGTGACATCATATTGGTTTGACAATAAAAATGCTGTTCAGTTTTTATAATTTTTGCAGGTCGAACAATTTGCGGGGATTCGATTTCGCGCTACATGGCCAGGTTAAAAAGTTGCACGCAAGAGCGTTCTTTTATATTTGGATGAAGCGTTTAATCAAAATAAAGTATAAGACGATATTGAATCGGTGATTTATCTCAAGTATTCGGCAGTAAACAGATCTGTTCTTTTATCTCTGCATACAAGTTTTGCCGCGAATATATCGAAATTAAATCCCCCGCAAAATATTTTCAATAACACAGTATGTCAGTGATCATTTTCGGTTTAACGAGAAAAAAAAATTTAAAATATTATTTGAATAACATGATGTCATGTCTATGAATTAAAGTTTTAGAACACAGAGGTCGCGTGATAAAAACTTAAAATAATGTTAAGACTGCCCTACAGGTAATGTACTCACAGTCTCGTACAGTCACGGTCGAGCTGTTCACTGTTGTCGCTATGCCGTCTAGCGCAGAACTAGCCTGTAAATATTACATGAAACAAAACTTGAAAAAAATACTGTATTGAATATTAGCAAATATTCTTTAACCGTACTTTGAACTCGGCGAGAGAGGAACAAAACATATCACAGTCTGGTGCAAAAACAAGATAGTTAAAATTACTTTGATTCCTGTTTAAAATAGTATACTTTCTCAAGTTTATTCTACTTCTCTGGCAGTAAAAGTGGTTAAAACGAATTGATCGTAGATTACAACCAGGGACTAAAAAACACATTTGCTGACTAAATATGGACAATCAAACGCACTATTAACACATTTGAAAAGAAATACACAGTCTAAAAATACCCGCCTATGTTCGAGGCTAGGAAGATTAAAATGCCTACAAGTGTCAGCGTAAGACATGGAATTGTAGTCAACCTGTGCCTTAAAACATAAAAATTTCAAATTTTTACGCTGGACAACTTCGACCTGGTGAATTAAAGATGTTTGGTAAAGAGACCAGATTTTACAACAATATTCTAACTGACTCCTGACAAGACTTATATATAGAGACCTTAAAACAGGTATTTGTTTAAAACTTTTACATGTTCGTTTTATAAAACCTAGCATTCGCATTGATTTGGAAACAGTACGTCTAATGTGGGTACTAAAACTATTTTGAAGAGGTCAGCCAAACACCAAGATCTTTCACACACCATTCATTCTTCAGGTTGTTGCGTGGAGCCATTGAATGGATAATATTAAAAATCATTTAACACAAAACATCTTGTTCCTACACATTTTCGTTTGATTATAGGTGTCATATCTTAAGTGCGTGCATTTCCTTTCAATAACATATCACGAAAAAAAATGGGAGAGAAAAGAAGAGAAAAATATTAATGTAGGGATGCTAAAACCTATTTAGTATACGCTATTTTATAAGAGAAAATATGCAATTATATATATTATAAATGACAAGTGTGTATAGTGTAAAAGTTGATATGCGTCCTTTATTTACAAATATCTAAATGTTTTATATTTGTAGATTGGACTTACTGTACTGGCAATCCCTGTGAGATTCTGTGCCACCACAGCGTCAACGGCCGACTGTGTGGACGATAGATCTGGCAGCTTTGAAGGAAGACAACATGGTCAAGTGTATGTCAGTATCAGATATAAACAATTGTTAATACAAAAATAAGACTACTGGCGTATAAGTATATTGCTTAATCTAAAAAGATGTGAAGAAAAGGGAAAAAACACCAATCGAACAAAACAAGAATGTATTTACTGATGAAATACAAACATGGCGCCCAATTATTGTACACAAATAAATAACTAAAAATATTATGAGGGACATCAAAACAACAGTAAAGACAACAGCAGTAACTAAGGACATCAAAGCAACAGAAAAAACAACGACAGTAACTAAGGACATCAAAGCAACAGTAAATACAACAACAGTACCTGAGAGACATCAAAACAAAATTAAATACAACAACAGTACCTCAGGGACATCAAAACAAAATTAAATATAACAACAGTTACTAATGGACTACAAAACAAACATAAATACAACAACATTAACTAAGGGACAACCAAACAACATTAAATATAACAACAGTTACTAATGGACAACAAAACAAACATAAATACAACAACGTTAACTGAGGGACAACAAAACAAACATAAAAACAACAACATTAACTGAGGGACATCAAAACAAAATTAAATATAACAACAGTTACTAATGGACTACAAAACAAACATAAATACAACAACATTAACTGAGAGACATCAAAACAAACATAAATACAACAACATTAACTGAGGGACATCAAAACAAACATAAATACAACAACATTAACTAAGGGACAACCAAACAACATTAAATATAACAACAGTTACTAATGGACAACAAAACAAACATAAATACAACAACATTAACTGAGGGACATCAAAACAAACATAAATACAACAACATTAACTGAGGGACATCAAAACAATATTATAGACAACAGCAGTAACTAAGGGACAACCAAACAACGTTAAAGGGACATCAAAAGGAAAGACAACAACAGTAATTGAGGACAACAAAACACCGATAAAGACAACAACGGTAACTGAGAGATATCAAAATAGCAGTAGATGTATTCTTAATCCTCATAAAACACCGGAGAATATGGTCCTTACTCACCGTTGAGAAATCTGCACTCATTGTAAGCCCTGACGTTGAGAAGCTGTCACACGCGGTGGTGGGCACACAGTCACTGGAGCACGAGGACTTGGTGGTGGTGATGTCCGAAGCTAGATTGTTTATGGACGATTCCAGAGTACTGGCCGTACTCTTTATGGCGGTTATGTCGGAGATCACCTGTGCCATGTTGGTGCTTATGGAGTTCAGGGCTGGGCGAAAACACCAAGACAGAAAATACAGGTTACAGAAATAATTTTATGGCAATTGTTTAAATTTTTATTTGAACCTGATATATTTCGTCATTCATGTCTATCCTCTATGGGGAGGGGATGCTACGTGACTATTAATCGGCTCCACATGTTCAGATGTTAGTTTTAACAATAGAAATTTCATGATGGTATGTATTAATATATCAGCAACACGTCATTGTGATGGTAAACATAAAGTTTATGGTACACATTCATTAAACGATCTATTTCAATATAATGGTATACGTCAATATAACAGGAAAAGTAATTAAAATGGAAGATATCTGTGTAACGGTATACATTAAATAAATGATTTTTATCAAATATGGCACAATAATATATATCAAAATAATGGTATACATCAGCATAATGGTACACATATCAATAAAATGGTACAGTTAAAGCTATCTATATGCTGGTTCATATAAACACAGTGGTAAATATTATATAAAATATATTTTTTACACAAATAAGTGACCAAAGAATTTAAAAATTCAAGATACCAGAAATCCAGATACACTAGATATCCATATGGAAAACCAGTTATTTCCAAAATTTAATCATGGAAAACACTTGATTTCTATCCAAGATAGTAAACGACTTGTAAAAAAAACAAGCTTTAGCTAATTGCAACAAAAATGAGTTAGAAACGTAGCGAGTCTCCGTACTTACTCGTGTCCAGAGCGATGACGGAGTCAATGACTGTGTTGATATCCAGACTCGAACTTATAGCGTTGTATACCAGCGGACCCAGATCTGGGAACATAGTGATATTTTCGTTAATTTTCTGTGTTAATTGAACATAATTCAGGAAAAACTACACATGTGATGCAGGATAAACCGTGTAGAAGCTGAGCATAGAATTGTCTGCGCTTCCATAATAAATGAATTAATAGTATGACCAAAATGAAAGACACGGAATTTTGCTGATACTTAGAGTAAAAAATGAAGGTGAGGTAAAAAAAAAATGGGAGTTTTCCTCCCAAATCTGCAATAGTCACCACAACCTAGTTCCGGATGACGGAAACAGACGACAACAAAGGAGCGTCAACATGATCATATCCAGAATTTTGTTTTTGTTTTTATTTATTTTTATTCGTCATAATACATTATTGATTGACATTAATGAAGGGAAACATTTCTCCGGGGTTAATCATGTTTTACGAGGGCGAATCAATATATTGATTTAAACATATTTATAATTTAAAGGCCGAATTTTAAATTAATTAATATTTTTGATTAAGTTAAGTGTTAGAGAGAGAGAGAAGGGGGGGGGGGGGTCACAGCTTGAAGATATTTAATGTGAGGTCGTGGTATAGTGAATCAATATAAGTATAATGTAAACAAGAGGATCTACTATATACGCCATTTTGTATTTGCAAATCAAACCACTGTTAAGTTGTTTTTACCTCCAATGTCAGAGATAACAGCATTGCTCACAATGTCGTACATATCCAAAGCGATATACGAAAATTCCTGGAAGGTAAACAAACACATTTTCTTTTTCAGATTTTGTTATTGTTAAATCTTATTATGTAAATATTATAAATATACAACATTTGATATAGCGCCCTATCTTACTAACATAAGCCACTCTAAAGCGCTTTACAGTACATAGATATACTGTTTTATACAGTCAATACAATTAGCATATATACATTAATCAATACAAATTTGAGGAATTCGCAGGAGCTGCCTTATCATGCGGTTACTACTAGTCCTATGCCACCTGGCTAATATCTCCCTATGTGTGTATGTCTGTGTGTGTGCTGGAGATGTAATGCGTCATAATATTATATCATAAAGATCGTTAAAGAACAAATGTTGGTCTGCTATGTCATGCATCTGCTTTCCATAATAAATCTGTAAGATATCCATTAATTCAGACAAAGGTAATTTTTTACAAACTTAATTAATTAATGACGTGCTTAAAAGGTAAAAAGGAAATCATGAGTAATCATTACGCATTACTATTTTAAAGTTTAAGGGAGATTACTCTAGCACAAATCAAATATATCTGCATCATTGTGTTTTCGTTAGACATGATAATGGTTAAGAAAATATGAACAACGTTTTCAATGATAAATTAAGGGGGGTAACTCGTACACTACTACGTACACTGGCCGAGTTGTTGATGTAAGCCGACAAATCGTCCAAGTTGGTGCCGATAGTGACGTCAGCGTAGTCGAGTGCCTTTGTGAATCGGTCGTTAGTGGCGTAAACACAAGCTGCCGAACCCCTGGGAAATTAAGGTAAAGCTTCCATTTAATCAAAAATACATTTTACCATCGGAACTATTGTGAAATGTTGGTCTTAAGCATTTTCTTCAAATGAATTCCACATGCAACGAATATTGCCATGCAGTTTACAGTTCTTCTTAATTTGAGAATTTTGAAAAGGAAATAACAACAGGAAACAATGAAAGATTTAAGGTGATCAAACTCTTGACTCTTAGCTAGGTTATAGCTATCAAGGAACTGTAACTGTACTGTATCAAAGTGTTGGGTTTTTTTAAATTTAAGATAGCTATATCACCTTTATTGCGATGTAACCGCAAAAAAACCCTAGGAAGTGGGGCTCTTTTACAACGTGTCTTGTTGTATATTTTATCTAAGTTAAACCTATTAAGGTTTTACGCAATTTTTTCTGAAGAATATGAATCATGCATATACGTCAACAAACACTTACAATAAACAAACCGCAAGTAAGAAGAGCGCCTGTGCAAACCCCATTCTTTTACAACCTTCGTTTTCATCATAAACCTGAAACAATTTTGACATCTTAAAGTACATATTAAACTTGATTCATGTTAGCAATAAAATATTTTTATTAATTCACTTCAATTTCTGTGAAGGACGGAGGAGCGATTTATTGGTATAGTAGCGTACGTTGTGCTCAAAATACATTTGCAATGCATCACACGTTGACTTTTATGAATCGATTATAAATAACTTCAGAAACTGTACAAGGTAAGAATTTAATAAATTCACAATACCTGTTTCAGATTGCCACCACAATTACCACAGCATCGACAGCAGCAGAAACAGCAGCCACAGAGCGGCATAAAGATAACGTAGAGCAGTCCAAGAACAAAGCAGATTCCGAACCCCATAGCGTAGTTCACGAGCTGGTGGAGAAAAAAATGCATTAAGCCCAATCTCGTGTTGTTGTATTTTTCTAACTCGCTTCCTGACGATTGACAATGCCAAATATTGTTATCATATAAGTACATTACAGTTATCTTAATGATCCTGCACTGTGTTTTCCTACTTACAGTAAGCTCCACTTTTTATATAACCTGCCATTAACCGGGAAGCTCAATAGGTTAGAGCGATAGTAAACAATACGTAGTCGAGGATTTGAATTTCGGTGTGATCCTGATGATGTTTTCTTATCTGTGATAACATTTAATGCTTTTCATATATCAACACTATTTTTATATGTTTATTGTTTCAAAAGGGTCATATTCCGGGGTAGGTAGGGGACTCCCAATCACTTAAAAACCTGGGATATGGATACTTTCTTTTTCTGTGATAATTTATACTGCTTTTTTATAATATATGTGATTATCTCCCTTTACTTGTAATATGATATATTATTGTTATTTTACATATGTTTGTCGCAATAATAGCCCTCAAGAGCTAATGTTCCTTATTGACCTGTATGCGACGTTAAATAAAGTTTCTTGTATCTTGTTGTATCTTGTATTTACACGCAGAACACTTTTCTTGTTTGTTGATATTTTTCGTTTCATATTTCATTTTGTTTCCCCTTTGTCGGTATGACTCATTTTTCCTAAAAAATATTTTATAAGAGTACCAGCTAAACAAACTGACAGATATCTTACATCTTACCCCTGTTATATTATACATTATTATAATTTGTTCTGTAGGTACTCACAGTGTCTGTTTTCCATCATTGTCCGATTCATAATATAAAAGGTATTTTCCAATCGCTACCCAGAGTAAATGAGTATACGGAACGACAACTCTAGGTAGAGATTTGTATTTTTCCGTTATTGTCTGTTTTCTCGAGGTAGTATTATTTACTTACCTCCATATACCTTTCTCCGATATCAAAGTTGTTGTTTAAAACGTCTTTGATAAGACCTGTGAAAAATAAAAGTTTCTTAGGTTGCACTTTGTTTCAAACTGAACGTTAAGACGTCTCGTCGCCCTAATTGAACTGTAATACTGATATTATATGTGTAATCAATGGAAAAGGATACTATGAATATGTTAATAAATATTGTTTTCGACCAGAAACGACAGAGGTTGTCGGTACGCTCATCGACATACCAATATTATTTTTAAAGCAGCCGCATGTTCCAATGTAATTATCAATGGCTAACATTTCTTCTGATGCACAAGTATTGCACGGTACTTTTCAAGTTCATGCTGGTATGAAGGCAAATCGGTTCCATACATATCCATGGGGCTTCTTTGTAAATCTGTATGTAACCGATTCGCCTTCATATCGGTATGAGCATTGAAAAACATGGCGTCAAATCCTTATATTTACATTGTAAATTTTCAGTTATTATTGACCTAGACATATCTCTTATATTTTCTATATTGATGTATGTGTGTCATCAGATGCAAACAAGATTCCTGGAACAGCCTAACGTCACCAAAATGTTTGTTTCTAACGGTTGTCTCTTGTTATTCGAGACGGGAGGAGAAGCCTCAAAATGACGCTGATCAACAATTTCGTTTATGGTTCAATGAACGCAATTTCTTCTGGTAATGCTTTTAGAGGAACTTGCAGTGGAAATGTGAATATAAGATGAAATATAGCAAAAATGAATTTTGTATTACATATTCCTCTGTTACAATGAAATCATATTTTAAGCCATTATCCACGATGAAGTAGAGACTATTGTATAGGCTTAAGTATAGTATGCAGCAAAACTTTACCGTTATAATATGGAACGCTGTAACTGTGTTAACCAAAAACCCGTTTTTTCCACAGGAAGCTATTGGTCCCTACGATATTCAGTTTAGAGAATTTAAAGTGTAGACTGGTATTACTATACAAACAATGAGGTTATACTTACTGAAAGGGAAATCATTTGGCTGCACTGTGTTAATGAAGCTTCTGGTGAAGGAAAACAGCAGACCAAGTCCGTCATTTGAGTAAGAATTTACAGTCTTATAGGCGATGCCCGTCGGTACTGATCCCCACGTGATGGTCCCGTTACCCCAGGCCTTGTTACCGTAGGAGTCTGTGATGATCCCTGCCCTCACCACCCCTACTCCCGCTGCAGACACCAACACCAGGAGGCATCCCAGCCACATCCCATCCAGTCTCACAGCCATGTTTCGTGTAAAAAAAAATATCAGGTGAGAAGTATTTCACATTTTTGTTCAATTAAAATCCAAGACGTGTATTATATTCCTCACTTTCGAAACAGGTGCCGTTGATTTCCGTACCCCATTGTATGACTATAAGCTGAATTCGAACACATATTTGTTTCACATACGTAGCTTAGATCACTCTAATAATGGTTCACTCCGATGTCATAGTGGAGAGTAGTTTGTCGAAACATGTTACAATAACAAATAATAAAGTGACTTATGTATAAACATAACATATTGTTCTTGTTTCATATTCATGTAAGTTCACTGGAATAATATGCAAGCTTAATGAGGTACCAGAAGGGATATACCATGTAAGTTCAAAAATATCAATAGTAGTTAAGCGTTAAGGATCCCTGTACCACTGCCAAAAAATGTAATTTTAAAAGTGCTGTAAACTGTGTTTTTCTAGCACGACTAAAGCTTTCATAAAACTTTTCTGAAAAGAAAATCATAACTTGCGGAATTGTAATGTGAAATAGAAAAGATGAAATAAACTACAAATAACCATCAACAGTGTTTTGAGTGTAAAAATAATCAGCGGGGCTGGACTGCGGAATTCAAACCCCAGACTTCAGATTGTTATACTAAAGCTCTGACTGATTGATCTACCTGGTCAATGAAAGGGTGTTTATCCAACTGTGCTACAGTTATATCCAAACAGAAGGTAAGGGGGGAGTTACCGTGTCTAGGAATAAACACAGTGCAGTGGGACAGGGATCCTTAAAATAAATTATTATAGTGTCTACTCCGCTCCCCATATCAGACCTCTGCCCTTAATCCCATTTAAACTGAAACACATATAAAATAGGGCTATACCCTATACACCTTATACAAACAGCAAATAGTCGCTTTTAAATAATCCGGATTAGTTGGTTTCTATTGTTAGAATTAAATACATATCATGTCCTTTGATCGAGTAGAAAAAATTAAACCCATTTAACCCTGGCCATAACTGTGTTTATTACAACTCTCATATTGAAATGTTCAACTATTTTACTGATCATTTTAAAACCCAATGGGCGTTGAAAATACTTAGCATTTAATTCATGATGTAAACTATCAGAGTGACTTAATCATAGCTACAATTATATGTTCAATGATCAGTTAGAAATTACATTTATTGGTGAAATTAAACACTGATCTGATAAATGTGAGACTTTACTATGGCAAGCCAAGTTGTCATTTATGCATGGAGCAATGTTGATCCAGTACTTAACCAAATTATATAAGATATCTTATATACTTTATGAGATATCTTATATACTTTATAAGATATCTTATATCTATTATGAGATATCTTATATATTTTATAAGATATCTTATATACTTTTCTTTATAAGATATCTCATAAAAGATATAAGATATCTTATATATTATATAAGATATCTCATAAAAGATATAAGATATCTTATAAAGAAAATTAAATGAGATATCTTATATCTTTTATAAGATATCTTATATAATATATAAGATATCTTATAAACAAAATTAAATGAGATATCTTATATAATTCGGTTATAAGATATCTTATAAAGAACGAGATTTGAATTTGAGATAATAAACCCTCCTCCACAGCGCTCGGTAAAGCATTAAATCGAAAGCCTTAGTTTCGTACGTATCTCTTAACCGGAAATGAAGTATGTGAAAGTGAAAGTAGGAGTTTAATGCCACCAAATAGGTCTGGTTATAGCGGTATTAACATTATTTTAAAAGGTTAAGCTTTATAAAGTAGATGGGGGGTAAGTGGTGGAGAAATGGATGTTCCTATGTATTTCATAACTGAAGGAAAACGATCCTACTGCATGTATTACTTACAATTTATTCATTAAAATGTTTTATCTTGATTTTCTTCACGGATTTCCTCTAAATGTTTTTAAAGAAATTTGATAAAATTGTAATATTACCCGTACAAATTCACAGACAGGTAATTGACATTAAACATATTAGGAACATTTATTAATTGTTTCGGCTGCTTATCACAGACCGCATTAAAGCCATTTTGGTCTCTGTGGAGTATAACATATAGATAGACATGGGGACATTTTTTTTTATTTACTGTTTCAGACTGGTCATACACCTGTATTTATTATCACAGACAGGCTATGTATCTTTAATTATATTGTTTCAGATAAAATTGTTTTAACTATCACAGACATTAAAGAACATACTTATGTATTTGTAATTCTATGTTCTATCAATATACTGTAATGTAAGGAACATTAATTCATTGTTTCAAACTGGTTATAAACTTGTATTTACTTATACTATTACAGACAAGAAGTAATATTTCATTATTTGATACATATGTATACAGATAAGTGATATTTCATCATCAGGTGCATGTTCTTTAAAGTCTTTGAGATATTGATCACTTATAAGATATATTTTGTAGAGATACAATTGTATTTTGTGACCTAAAAGGCATTTCACACAAGCCAGATACATGGTAACACTTACAGCATGTCTGTAGTAGTAATTACATGTGTAATACCTGTCTGTGATAGTATATACATGTGTAATACCTGTCTGTGATAATATATGCATGTGTAATAACTGTCTATAGTAGTAATTACATGTGTATTACCTGTCTGTGATAGTATATACATGTGTAATACCTGTCTGTGATAGTAAATGCATGTGTATGATCTGTCTGTGGTAGTAAATACATGTGCAATACCTGTCTGTGATAGTATATTCATGTGTAATACATGTATGTAGTAGTACATGTTTAATACCTGTCTGTAGTAGTATTTATGTGTAATACCTATCTGTGATAGTATATGCATGTGTAGTACCTGTCTGTAGTTGTAATTACATGTGTAATACCTATCTGTGATAATATATACATGTGTAATACCTGTCTGTAGTAGTAACTACATGTGTAATACCTATCTGTGATAATATATACATGTGTAATACCTGTCAGTAGTAGTAACTACATGTGTTATACCTGGATGTAGTAATATATATATATATAATATATTGCTGAGCATCAAAACTTGGATACACTTTTGTTAGAAAGACTTGTCCTAACTCAGTGCCTCTTGTTTATTATAAAACACAACAAAGATATCTTTATAAAGAAATATTGAGAAGGTTATATAATGATTTGTATACAGATTATACAAACTAGTAAACAGGGTAAATAAGAAGTGGTTTACAGAGTATATAAAGAATGGTATATAGAGAGTGGTATACAGGGTACATAAAAAGTCCTTATTTATTTAGTAAGGGTATCCTCTATAATACAGCCTCATTGCATAAGGTACCTGTATTTATCATCTCTATTATATATAGTGTATTGACTCATTTTCCAGAAGATACAATGTACATGATACAAAGTATATACATGGTATATTTCCGGTAAAGAGGAAAATAAGACATTTCATCTTCAAAAACCTGTAATTGTAGCATATCTCAGGTCTGAAAAAAACAGAGGCAAATCAGTCACTGGGCCAGAGCATTTGGGTGCCAATAGAGGAAGTTTGGGTGTAAAGATAATTAAGATCCCCCACCATGTAACCATCTGAATACATCCATGCTTACATGATTGGCGCCAGGGTCCTGCCCTGCCACAAGGGGCTTATAGTCCCCAAATTTTACATGAAATCAGTAAAGATCCCATCCAAATGCTGCTGGGCATGCAGAGGAAAAACACTCATGATACCAAGATAGTCCCTAATGGAGCCCACCCCATCCCTGAGGACTTACTCCTTCAGTCATAACATGGAAATTGTTGAGATCCCCAAGCTGATATTTCCTGTATGGTAAGAGGTAATCAACAACTTTTAATGAAAAATATTATTCCAGGTGAGCTATTAATAATGTGCCTGTGCTTCTTGTTCTTGAGAGGCCACAATAAGGGAACATAAATGGGAAACTCCAGCACAAGCAAACATGTTATATTTCCTGTGCATGCAATCAATATGAACCAATATCAGACAACTATTATAAAGATGAGGTACCTTACCTACAGAGAATATGGACCTTACATATACCTCATGTATATGTGCATGCATACAAGATGTACTTGATGTATAGGTGTAATCTGATGTATAGAAGGTATATATATACCTGATGCATGGAAGGTGTATATATATACCTGACCTATAGGAGGTGTATACCTGATGTATAGAAGGTATATATACCTGATGCATGGAAGGTGTATACCTGACCTATAGGAGGTGTATACATGATGTATAGAAGGTATATATACCTGATGCATGGAAGGTGTATACCTGACCTATAGGAGGTGTATACATGATGTATAGAAGGTATATACCTGATGTTTAGAAGGTGTATATCTGATGTATATGAGGTGTATATCTTAAGGTTTTTTTTATCAATTGTCGCCCTTTTACTCTTGGGGAGGGGATACATTTACATGATGTGATCATGTGGACGCTAAGGGCCTGAGGGGCGGAGCCAAAAGGGGCCAAAATAGCTCAAACAATAATTGTCTACTTCCAGATCCAGATATGTTAAAAAACCTTCTCATGGATGGAAATATCCTGATGTGCTTAATCAAAATGTGAATTTCACAACCCCTTGGGTACTAATTCCTCCCTGGTGAGGGGCAAAATTCCCTGCTATACATATATATATATGTAATTTTTATTTTTGACATATCACAACAACAAATAACAATTGCATTACAACTCAGGTGACCTGTTAGGCCCATGGGGCTCTTGTTTTAAAGTACTGTATTAGTTGGATGTGTTGATATTGGCTTCCACTAATAATCCCACTACTTACCTATAATTAGATGTGGGTTACAGGGACATGTCACATGCTTATTAAGTGTGCTGCAAAATATATATATATACTGTGATGCCCATTCATTATATATAATATCTTCCATTGTATATATAAACGAGTACCTGGTAGTATTTGACATGTCCCTATAGACTTAAGGTTATGGAATTATGCACTATAGAAATATTCAAATTTCAAATATTTCATATCAATATGGATTGAGTGTCGGTGCTATATATTTAAAAAAAAAACTGTTCAAAACAGTTGATTCTCAAACAGAATTTGTTCTGTATCAAAAAAAAAAATGTTTTTGGGCTGAAATATCTATCCTAGATGTTATTATTAAAAAGAGTTATACAATACTTATCCACAAGTTTTTGAGTCTTGAACCCAAATG